CAGACATCGACTAATCTTACATCATTTATAAACATCCCAATAATGAATATTAATAATCAGTTTTATCTAGTTTTATTTGCTATTAACTTCAATTTTAATTATTAAAGCACACAAAACTCATCCATACAAGTGCTGATGCATGTTAATTACAATATCTGTTTAAAAATGATCTATCAATTTTTTTTTCGTCCCAATCATACACATTAGCACATTAAACAGAATTTCCGATTCAATAGTAATTTACTTAATTATAATCCATGATGTTATATCCATTAATTATTTTGTAAAGTAATTTAATCAATCAAATAGTTCAATAAATTCATGATTTTTGTGTGGTTTCAATTGAATGCATTTGCAGTCATTCTGGAATTTTTGCAGCAAATATCGTGACAATTTTGTGAAAATTGTTTGAATGACATAACCACCAATTTAATGGAATTGAAAATTAATTAAATTACATTTTTGGGTTGTGATTTTTGGAGAGCTTCGTTGTAAGCTGTATTGAGCTATAATCAATGTTTTAACAGAATCTTTAACAACTGGTCTTTTTGATGACCTGAACATTGAACATCATTAGTAAAAGATTCAATAACAACAATTAAAATAAAAATAGTAAAATATCGTTCGTAAATGATGGCAAACTGTCCTGTCGAGTCCCTTGTTTAATGTTTATTTCCATAATTTCTTATCAGTTCCGTATTTACTATAATCAAATGAATTTACTAACAAATGTTGGGGAATCTCCTACGTTTAAAGTGATTCTTGCATCAATAGCAATTTCTATCAATAATCACCAGAGTCAGTTCCTTACTTTTCTAACAAAACAGCACAAAAAAATCCCAACTAAGCATTACTAGCCCCACCCTTAAAATAAATTTTCTAAATCCTTTCAAAAACTCTAGTTTGGAGTTTAAAATAAATTTTTCTTTATTTACTCCAGGACTACAACTAGCTATATAACAGGCAATAATAATTAACGATTGAGAAAAAAAAAAATAAACATGACCGAACTAGAAGTCTCGAGCAACTACTCGTTTCAATATAAAATGGAGAGAAAAAAACTTAATTCCATATAAATTATGCCTTTTGTTTCACAATAAATTAAAAGTCGTAATTAAGTTTCTTATATTGAGCACGAAACACAATAAAACAACAGAACATAAAGTTGAAACTAAAAGGCATGAGCAACAATAGCAGACAACAACTATTCCTTGCCCAAGAAAAAAATAATAGATTCGAAAAAGTCAATTACATTAGATGGAATGTGAATTAAAGTGATTAAAGCATCTTCAATTAAGCAGACTTGGATGTTTGTTCTTCTTCTTGCCACATTTACAGAATTTCCTTTATTTTCACTTCCTTCCATCGTCAAAACAGTCTTCTCATACTCATATTGAGCATTTTTCCGTCTCTTTCATTCTCAACTTCCACTGATGTTGTTTTCATTGTGTGCAGAAAATTGTAAGGAGTTTGGTCCATGGAAAATGATTCAATAAAAGATTCAATATGCTGGTTATGGATATGAGGACATGAGACGCATTATTTGCTAGGTTCTTAGGTTGTTGCTATTGTTGTTGTTCTTTAAGACATCGTTTCCCTCTTCCCCCCTGCCTCATATAAAAATAGATCCTTAATCTACCCAAACGTTGCAACTAATTTGCAACTTCCTATTACCAGACATAATAACTTTGATTAAATTACAATTTCCCCAGTCCAACGAACAAAATGTAGCTATTCCATGTCTATTCCTACAATTTCTGCAAAAATAAGGAACAAGTAAGAGTAGGAGATGAAAAAACATACTGTTCACAAGCCAATTAATTTCATCCATACAGCATAAATGAAAATGAAACAAAAGTTGAAATGAATGAAATTTTTGCTTGGTGGTTGGTGTACTTAATGTTCCCTCATACAATTCCTCATCTCATGTACGTACGTATATTTACAGAGTAGAAAATGAATGAAATTGAAAAAAAAATTATGCGAAAAAATAGCAGAAGAGCATAAAAAGAGAGGAAAAAAAATAAATTCGAGTGCCAACAAAACAACACAAATATTTTTGTTCAGTCGTGCTTCGTAGTCAGAATCATTAATGCCATTTTTTTCACTCGTTATTGCTTCTTACCATTATTTCTATTTCTGTTACTGCTTCTTCATCCACAAGTGGTAAATTTTCAAATTTTATTTATGTATGCATGTAAGTGCTCTGATGCTGGTACTTTTATTCTGTCCTTCCCTACGATTTTTTTTTCGTCGTCTATAGACAGTCATATCTCCTTACTGCTTGCCTTGTTTGCATAGAGATAATCACTTGAATTTATGTAGAGAATAATGACTTAAAAAGTAATTAACATGGAAATGAGCTCTTCACGGCTAGAAGTTTTCCTATCATGTTGTTGAGTATTATTATTATTTTTTTTTCCTGTTTTGTTCCTCTGTCGTGACACTCATTCACATTCACATACATATTAATTTTGTATTTTACAGCTTGTGAACGGTGAAGTTTTAATTCCGAATAAGGAGAAATGAGAAGAAGTCAAAAGTAATTAAAAAGTTGATGACAAGAACGCATTTTTCATCTAAATTACTGCTGGTTTAATACACAGGTATGCTAATGTCTAAACCAGTGTGGTAGATACAAAGCCCCATCTCTTGATGTCGAAGTTTCTTCAATTTTTAAAAAAATTTGCTCAGTCCATGCATCTCCTTCCGTTTGTAAAATATCAGCATACACCCCTGTATCTATCCCAGGCGCGTAGCCAGGAGGGTCTTGTCCCCCCCCCCCCCTTAAACGTTTTGAACCGCAACGAAAGCACGGCCTAAAACGCTTAAGAGACGAACAAGACCCTCCTGGCTACACCCCTGTATCTATCTTAAACAAAGTATTAGACAACCTTTTCATAATAATTCATAGACAACACGACATTTCCATTTTTTTCCATGCTTAAAAAAGTACAGAACCAACTAAAGTTCGGGTGAATAAATATTTATGGAAAACTTTTTAATCACGAAAAGTCCATTGGAAGCCGCATGGAAAAATATTTAATGAATAGCTAGCGAAAAAAAAAATGTACTAGCATTGTTCTCTATTTAATTAAGTGACAATGAGGATGAAAATAAAGCTGTAAAAATAATTATAAGGCAGAAAACGGGATTGTTCCCCTCTCGCGATTCCTCTTACTCGAATTATGTATTTTAATGAAGTTTCATAAGAAATAAAAGTGCTAATTTATTCACTTTGTTCTGATAGTTTTCTGGATGGGTGACTGTTCTGGGTCATAAAATTAAGCGCGAAAACATCAAATGGTTTTTTGTTTGTTTTAACGGTTTTGCTTTGCTTTTTTAAAATTTTTTCATGTTTATGGATGTTCATAGTTTACATGGTTTTTAACTCCGATAGCTGATAATACTCTTAAGAAGTCATTCATCAAGAGATGCTTTCAAACTTTGTACGACTCTCCATTGAGGAGTTTATTCAGATCCCTTCCAACTTAGGAGCCGTTCATTTCCAAAACGTCGATCGTCAATTGTAAACGACCCCGAAGTCTTCAAAGATTCCAACTTTAATAGCACACGACGTAGAAAATCAGCAAAAAAATGTCACCAGACCAATGTCAGGCTAAAGCGTAGCTAGCATTTGATTAAATGCGATCATTCTTTCTTGCCATGTGCCATTCGAGAAGTTATCTTATCTAAAACTCTATTTCAGCCATCGTGATAATAACAATTCTTAGTGCCATTTGCTTAAATTGTCTAAGATTATTATTCACTTACTAAATTCTTGTAATTAACATTCTTAATAACAATTAAAATATTCTTTCTTTTCTTCTTCTTGACTAAGCCTTATTTCCATAAACTCAATGATGATGGAATGAAAATAAATTACAAGTACAAGAAGAGTAAATAAAAATAAATTACTGAATCATTTTACCTTCAAATATCTTTTGACTTTTTGTCAAACAACTTGCGTTTTAAGAAATTCAGTTTGTCTATTGGAGAGACAAAGTATGGAGCTTTGTCCGAATCAAAATTTACCCAACTCTGATGGAAAGTCTGCATTTATGTTGACGTCATAAAAATGTAAAAAGTTCCCACAAAACTGGCTTTGGGTTTTCCGTAGCTTGATAAAGAAGTAAGTCTCAGTCCAGATCATTAAATCATTTTACAGAACAAATAAGAAGAATATGACATTTGTCCGATCACAAATCATACTAAAATCGTAAGGGAAAATCCAAATAAAAAGGCATCAAACGAATGAACTAAGCACAGCAGAAGATTAAGGTCTCGATGTTCCATATTAAAAGGTTTAAAATCCAGTTTAAATAAGCCCAAAATTCCATAAAAGTGTTGTTTTAAATGCCTCTCAGCATCAAGAACAGTTGCTATGCCACAGACAGCCTTTGCTTAAAAGTGGAACCTAAAAACCAGATTCAAAAACTTGAAAAATCTAATAAAAAGTATTAAAATAATTAATTATTTTTCCCAAACTCCATCGTGAGAAGTTACGCCAGAAGGAATCAAAATATTAGTTCAAAGTTCCAGTTTATTTATGCCTCACAAGCTATCAAGAAACATGCGCCCACAGCACTATTCAACATTTTACTTATTACAATAATTCCACATTATTATTTACCGAAGAAAAATATGAAAATGTTGGGTTTTTGCCACACAATATGATGCATTCTACAGATGTGACGTATTGCGCTAAAGTCTACCAAGTTCAAACAGAAAACAAGAGAGAAACTTGATTCATAAAAAATGGGGAAAACCCATCTAAGTATTCTCATTCATTCAGTATGCTCACCATTGTTTCTAGAGCAATCTTGATTAAATTAAGCAGCGAGGAAGTTAAGTTTGTTTACTAAATCTCATGATTCATATGAGAGTAAAAATCTCTCTTATCAGTCTCAACTTGTTCAGTTATTGATGAACAACATTTTTTCTCTATCAGTAATAAAGAAGTCGTATACTTCTTTTCAATAATTTATGCGATGCACAGTAAAGACATCAAGAGAGTATGAGAGTAAGCGAAGCAACTCAAACTGAGTATAAAAGTTGATGATCGTCTATGTTCAGGTTCAGTGTAAAACAAAAGCTAAGTGAATTAACAAGTCTGAATAAATAATTTAATTAAAAATGAAAGTCTTCGGTATCATCTGTGTATTAACAACTCTCGTTGGAATGAATTACGCACAACGTGGATCATACGCTGGGAGTCGACCAATTGTCAATGGAATTAAAGGTCCATTTCCAGAAGAAAATAATGAGTTGGCAAATAGATTCAGTGACAGTGGCACACAGCAAAATGTAATTTCATTGCCACAAAATTTCCCAATCTATGTGCCTCACAACATGTACCTTATTGATCAAGTCAACCAACGTCCATTAAATGAACAACCATTCTGGTTCGCAAATCGTGATATTATCAATGAGCATCTCAAAGGACCCGGTGAAGGTTTTTCTCAGGAACAGCCTCAAATTGGAAGTCAAAATAGATTCCAGAATGGACTTCAAAGTGGATCACAATTTGCACAACAAGCTAGACCTCAAAATGGATTCCAAGGTAGACCACAAGTTGGACAGCAAAATATAGGTGCACAACCTGGTATTGGACAGCAAAATATTGGTGGATTCCAAGGAGGGCAACCAGGTAATGGACAATCAAATGTTGGTGGATTCCAAAATGGACAGCAAAATACTGTTGGATCTCAAGATGGACGACCAAGTATTGGTGGATCTGTACATGCTAATCGAGGATCTTACATGGGAAGAAGGCGTTAAAACATTATTTCGATTAATTGCTAATTCATGTGATACTCTTTTGTAGTTAATAATGTTAAAATTATTTTTAAACTTTAGTGTATGGATTTTTTTATGGAGCTGATGGCCATGCATAATGAATAATCGATACTAAAATTATACATTCTGTTCTTTAGTACGCTATGGCTATTAAATGTTGATTTGAAACAATAAATAAAGAAGCAACAACTTCTGTTTAACAAGAAGATTCCAGTTTTTATTTAATTCGTCATATAGCAGCTGTAAAGGTCAATAGTAAGTTGGACAAGCCGAAGGGATAAAAACAGGTTTCTTATCGAAAACTTAAAATTATGATTAGGGATACTTATCATCTGAATTTTCAGTTTAAAGCTCAGCTGGTTCATTCTTTGCAATGGTTTTCTAGGTCAGCATTGCTCAGTAGTGTAATTCATGCTTTAAGTCTGCCACTTGATGTCTTCTAAAGTTCAATAACCAGAATATATTATTGATAGTCTCTGCTCCAGGCTGTTCCTTTGCGTAGCTTTTGTCTAGAAAAAATTTTGGTACATTTTTCTATGTTTGTCTGGTCTTGAATAATGGCTGAACAAAGACAAAAGCTAACATGATATAACTAGGAACCATTCCAAAGGCACCTATATGCTTACGGTTATAAAGAGTCAAACATAATTTTTTTAAATTGAATTATAATACTTAGCATTATTTTTTCTAGCTTCCATTGACTGAACTCTTTCATTTAATATATATAAAATTAAATTATAGCTCCTCATCTTACATCGCATAGATAAGAATGAAAAGTTTAAAATCTTTGAATGTCATAACAATGATAACGAAGTAAAATAAATCCAGTATTCAGTGAACGTAAAAGCTGGAAAAAAATCCACAAAGTTTCAGCGTCATGATGAAAAAGTTATTTCCATGACAAGAATGAGTAGTGTGTACATCTATTCAGTATAAGAGAGAGAAGAGATGACGACAGTTGAAATAAGCATATTGTGTGGTGGGAAAAAAAATCATGACTAGTTGCTGAATTTAAATTAAAAAGACGCTTTTATTCATCTCAAGCGAACCGGAAAATGCTCTTCACGAGATGCACATCTTCATGAGGGAAATTTATTCCATCTTGTGCAGTTCTTCGTCTCTCATTTCATTCAGACTGGAGTTATTTTATTGCATATTCACAAATGCTACTTCTTGCCTTTAAAACCGTCTTACTTGTGGTCTCTATACACTAATGATGACAGCACAGAAAGATGATTTTTTTTTATTATTCGAGTCACTCATTAGTGAAAAATCTAATTTTTGATGGTAAATTAAAACGAGCAGCAAAGAGGAAGAGTCAGAGGTGTAACCAGGAATGCCTTTTAAATAAGAAGCCACTTTGGAATTCGTCATCATTTTTGTGGGATTTTAAAACTTCCCTTAAAGTGTCTAAGCCCCCCCCCCCCCGCTTGCTGCAACTCTGGAAGTATTTTACATAAAATTAAAACGAGGCTGCAGTTGAATGTTATCATGCAAAAACCATATGTTGACAATGTAGCTACTTCACTTTATTATACTTCCACTAAATAGATGCTTTTGTAACGACAATGTTGAATAGAAAATTGAGAACTCAATGTAACATGATTGTCTGTGAATTTCTTTTCAAATTTTTGGAAATCGGCTTTGCATTTTTTATTTTTTTAAAGCAGATGCGTAGTTAGAGGGATGCCAAGCAATTCCTTCTGCTCTCTGAATTCAATTCATTTAATTTTGAATCACATACTCAGCTTCGTTCATGCCACATTGAAGCATATTCTGTTCATATTACCATTCTCCATTCACAATATTCAGTAATTAATTATAAATCTTAAAATGTTGATAAGTGAAATGAGCGAGTCTATCTGAAGATTTATGACAATAATCAGCCATGCGTGAATTTATTATGGCTGCTAAATTTCGAAAGGATATTGTGAAAAGCAACTTTAATGAACAAAAAAACATTGACAAATTAAAGCTTGATATTAAAGTCATGGTAATGTTATCCCCTATTATTCAGACAGTGTTGCAAAAGCACACAAAAAGTGGCAATAATCTCCATTATCTACATATCCTCTTGTTCAAAAATTGCATATTCTGTATGTAGGATCATTTAACTAGTAAATTTCATGTTTATGCATATGGTTTAACAATAAGTAAGCACTTCAATCTGTGATACAGAACATCATCATTGAAAATATATTTTCTATAGCAATTTTCCAATCCTAGACATGAAGACTCATAATTTAAAATGAGAAGATGCTTTTGTAAATTATTTAGGTGGAGTAATATTGTGTTGTTCCTATCTTTATGGATGAACATGAAATTAAAATAAAAAATATTATTTTCTATAAATATCTCTACAGTTGTTGGATGTTAGATGTTGTGAATATTTGATAGTCAATTGATGATTTTATGAAAATGGATCGAAAATTGGATTTTAGGTAGAGTTACCATCTAATTTTCATGAAAATACAGGACATTTGGTAAATTTTTTTCGAAAAAACAGGACATAGAGTAAAATTCGAAAATTAACGGAAAATTTCATGAAAAAAATACAGGACCAAGAACTAGGGTGACCATCTGCGTAGTTTTACAACGGACAGTCCTGTATTTCAAAACCCTGTCCTGTATAAATTTGAAAATTTTGTTCCAGGTCCTGTATTTTTTTCACGAAAATTTCCGTTAATTTTCAAATTTTCCTTTGTGTCCTGTATTTTTTGGGATATTTATCAAATGTCCTGTATTTTCATAAAAATTAGATGGTCACCCTACCAAGAACAAAATTTAAAAATTTATACAGGACAGTCTTGAAAAATACAGGACTGTCCGTTGAAAAACTACGCAGATGGTCACCCTAATTTTAGGATAACTTCATTCTTAACTTTTGGTTATATTAATTGATTTTGCAAGAATACTGGAGATGGATGCGCTCGAAAAACTATTACTACGTCATGGATTGCATTGGATACCTCAAACACCATCGCAGTGTCATCAACTATAAGCAATCTTGATGGCAGGGAGTTACATGTCTCACTTGTGGATCAAAAAATCCAGTGGCACAGCAACATCAAGTCAATTTGAACCATTCACAGAAATTAGACATCACTATTGTATAAAACCTATTGACATAATCATCAAAAGCTAGTCCGACCCAACATCAATCCATATAGTCGACACATTACCCAAAATAACAACAATCAGAAAAAATCCTTCACACAAAACTGAATGAGAATGAAAATAACAATCGATATTGAACACACGATGCCGACAATACAGATTATAGTCAGTTTATATAAATGTTCATTTGCTACCTGCGACATGCTAATAGTCGGGTTATTTTCAACAATTAAAATCATATTTTTTTTTCTGTTAATGTGCTACAAGTTGAAGCATGTGGAAATAAAAAGAAGAAGTAGCGGCAAATGATTCTGATGGAAGCAAAAAATAAAAAATCAATAACAGAACACCTAGTAACTGTATAATAGTTCATATATATTCGTGTGCATTATAAAATATATATTAAGCGTAAATGCCGACCGATAAACGATCCGACATGCCTTTTCATATAATAATGAGAGTAAACATCAAAAATTCAACTTTTATTCACTTTATCAGGGGATAATAATTGCGTGCGCTTGAACTCCCATTCCCGCTTTATACACTGCACACAAAAATATTATGACCAAGCGAATAAAATATTTATATTCATTTTCTACTTCCATATTATCAACTTACTCACTCCTTTTTACTGTCCACTCCATATTTCGTTCTTGTTCTCTTTTATCCCTATCTCACTCACTTTAACTAATGACAATCTCTACATGTACATGCACTCATTCACATTTGCGCGACTCTATTCAGTGCAATTTGTGGCTGTGACCAAAAGGGGGAATTTGAGAAAAAATTGGCAAAAAATGTTAAGGAATTTTTGTGTCAGGAGTAATTTTGAGGAGGATGTGGCAATTCCAAGTGCCGTGGAATAGTGATAAAATAGCGTCAATCCTTCTAGATCCCACAATTTTTAATAAAATTCGAACTTAAATCCACAAACTCATCAAAAGCTGTACAACAATTCAAACAACATCACAATAAAGACCAACAAAAATTTACCAACTCGTCCATTAAAATTAGCCAAGAAGCATACTCGAAAAAAATTTACACCACGAATGAGCAATAAAAATAATCAGTTACGACAAATTTTACGATTTTCCAGAAACAAAAAAACAACAGTTTTTTATGCTCATTACGATAGCTTAACATAGCTACAAGTTATCATAAAACATTAAAGTCCTACAAAAAGTGACTTTTTGCCACAAATTTACATACACCACACCCATCATGAATTGTGACAATTTTACTATTTTTGCATTTTCATGGGGCATTCATAAGGATAATCAGTCATTTATGTCCACTCCAGTATTATATTTATTCATATAACATTAATATACATATTCAGTGGATTTCTGATTACTTTCATACTAAAATGAAATGAGAATGAGCAGGAACATTGAACGGGTAGTAGAATGGGATTTTAGTCGATATGAAAAAAGCATATACAGTATTGTATGAGCACGGGCTACATGGTTTTAGATTTATGTCAAGTCATAATCGTGATTTTAATTAATAATCATTTTCATACCATTTTATGGCGTTAAATGAGCAACCGTTGCCGCATTAATTCGCAGATTGAGTGAGTGCGAGTGCTTAAAACAAGAGAGCTGCGTACGAAGAAAAAAAAAATTAATTATATTTTTCGGCAAATTTAATTTTTCCACCATTATATTAGAAGTGTGAGGTTCAGCGCGCGAATAAGGATGTTATAATGATGACTGAATTAATAACGAAATGTATTCCATCTAATTTGAAATATGAAGGTAAAGAAATTAATTCAATTAATCTGTTTATAGACGCTCTTAATATTTATTTATATGCCTAATGTAGTTTCATTTAATTTAATGTTCATGACTATAAGAAGAAAGAAGAAGTGTTTGGCTACAATAAGCTTTGTGGAGTAAGTTGGAGGAACAAGTTGAGGAGCATGAGATGAACTTTTGTTATTGTATAGTTTTAGAACAACCAGTCACATCTAGATTTAATTAGTAATACTTATGGTTAGGCCAGTGTTGTCCAAAGTTTTTGAGCCACGGCACACTTTAGGGGTAAGCCATGACCATGGGTTAGGCAAATAATTTAATTTTTAACTTGATCTGTGAATTGGAGCGTATCTGAGTGTTCAGAGGTTTTGCTTGCTAGTTTTGTCCAAAATCAAATGTTTCTGTCCAAACAAAATAGTTTCAAACACCCCCTGCGCCCACCACCCCTCCTCCATGTGAGACTACGTGAAGCAGCGTCAAAGTAGCTTCTAGTGGCAAAAGAAACCAGCCCAACGGACCCTTATTTCTCAGTAATACCAGAACCAACTCCTAATATTAACTCATTCCTCCTACATATCACCCATCAACTCAAAACACACAACTAAGTAGAGTCACGTTAAGTTGATTTTAATTAAATCTCGCACACATGTGAAATTGAGAACTTCTCACATTAAATTAAATTCTCCTTTTTTCACGCTCTCTGATTGTATTCCAAAGAAGAAATTTCAAAACATTCTTATTCTCAAATTAACAATTTAATTAGATTTTTAAGCGTCTCAATTCATTACTTCTCTTCCGTATTACGTTTATACATTTCCTTGTAACTTTTGTTTCCAGCGTGTTATTGTTAAGTGGATTCTTAGAAGTCGGGAAAAGTTGTTGTCAATGAAGAGACAGAAATATGGGGTCGTTCATAAATGATGTTCAACTTTTTGAGGGAGGAAGGAGAGTCTAATGCTGTGCTTTACTGCTAAATATATAACAGAGTGGGTTTTAAAATCAAATATTTTGAAACACATTATTTATGAATGATCCCTTTGGAACATTTGTGTTTCGAGGTATACTAAGGGATTATTAAATCGAACGGGATCGAGACTATAAAAACCCACTGAAATTAAGCAATACTTTAATAATATTTATTATAAACTTTATTACAGACTACAAAGAAGCACATTGAGTGTCAAACAACAACTAAAACAAACACACTTTAATCAGAACTGAAAGAGTGTGCGATAAAACAAAAGCGATTCGCAATAAACACGACAGAAATTTTGCATAAATTTAAATTGAACAGAATTGACAGTCAATTAATATTTTCCGACTAAAATTTTGTATTCATTCAAAATTGAGGCAGTTGCGTGTAACATATTGACTCTAGCGTAACCACAGAATGTATCGGATTTTGTCATTGAACAATGAATTTTGAAGCCTGTAAGTTGTCACGTTAATGAGCAATCAAATTTAATGAATCTACATTGTGATTTTATCTCTTTCTCGCTGTGGTGACGTGAATTATATTGAGCAAATGTTTCGAAAATAATTTTTTTGGGAATCAATCGAACTTGTCGGAATTGGTTGAATAGAAATTAGTTGATGAACTGATTTGATCATGTCTGAAACAATTATTTATGATTTGGAGCTTGAATTAGTAAATTTTAATGCAGAAATTCATGATTTATAGGGGCTGTTCTCAAATGACGTCCAATATTTAAGAGGAGAGGGTCTGGAGTTTTGTAAGATTCTCCTCAATTCAAACTATATTAATGACTATTGCCGATTACAATGACGAGGTTTGAAAATTGAATTGCTTATCCCAAAAAAAGAAAAGACTTTAAATGCTTGATGCTGCTTGATATTCAACAAACCCATACATTATCCGTTCTGATTAAAGGAAAGAGCAGTTCAAGCAAATATTAGCTAATCATATTTAAAAATTGATTTAATGTGTTTTAACAGCAAATATAAATAACAGCTAGGCACAAAGCAGATAATGTTTTGTAGAAAAAAAAATTAATTTTTATCGTGACGAACATAAACTGAATGAGTGACTTCTAAATAAGCTCAAACAATAGATCATTAATATTCTGCAAACTTCTCGTCTTCGAAATAATTTGTCTGTTTTTAAGTTGTTCCTGAGTTTGAAGAATAGTTGACTCATTTTGTGATATTTGATCTTACTGTTTGTGTTGACGGCAGGCGCGTAGCCAGGAGGGTCTTTTCACCCCTTTAAACGTTTTGAACCACATCACGGTTTAAAACGCTTAAGAGGGGCACAAGACCCTTCTGGCTACGCACCTGGTTGACGCTAATTTTTTAGTCAAGTTCAGTTGATAGGGTTCGACAATTGTTTGCAGTAATTAGTTTTAATGGCGATAATTTTATTTCAATTTTATGGTAAAGTACTCTGAATGACACGAGCATAGAGCCAGCTCGGCAACTTCTATAGCTGGAAGTCGTTAGCTCCAGCTCGAGAGATTATTAATCGTAATTTACCTTAGAGATGTTCTATAGCTTGATGGTCATTCACTCTTTAAGTTTACGTTTTAATGGTTTTAATATAAAAAAAACATAGGTCAAAAGTGACAATAGCAAACACTCCATAATAAAATCAGCGATAAGAATTCAATCAGAAGTAACTTTTTATACAATTCAAAAGTTATGACACACTAAATGCATCGAAACTTTAACAGTCTGTGACATTTATCCAATGTCCACCAATGTATTTGAGAAAATAATATTTATGTAAAGGCAAGCAAGCCATAGAAAACAAAATTTAATTATTATTTACTTATTCATTTACACATCTCTCATATTCATATGCAAATTGAGAAGACTGACTGCCACAGGCACATACACAAGAGAAAATGAGATTAAAGCATCGTAGGGTTTTGATTGTTTGGCGCGCATTTTTGTAGCTGGCTTAGGTTTAATGGTTATTTCAGAGGCGAAGCTAAGAAGGGGTTCAGAGGGAAGGATGAATATGGTTTGATGATCATAAGGTCTACTCCTGCTTTTCGTGCAACACCGTTGACAATGAACCAACAACAAACTGCATAACAACTTAATAAATAATTTCTAATCTAGCCACAAAGCTATTAACTGCAAAGCTATTAATTTTAAACAAAGTTTTGCTCCTCTCATTTGAGAAATAAAAACAACAAAGTCTCCCACAAAAAAAAAATCAAAACAAATATTAGCAGCGCTCTTTTCTTGCACGATGTGATAAGAACGTATTTATTTATTTTTTTTAAAAAAAATATGAGATTGACTTTATTTATTTGAGCATATGGAGAAAATTCAGTTTATTTTTGTGTCTTTTAGCGATGAGGTCTATTTCATTTTTCTTTACTGGAGTATTATTCATTATCCTGTTATGCTACAGCCTGTATACGTACACAGAAATTAACTCGATGAAAGTTAGTGAAAGTTTAAGTCCAGTGAAAACAGAAGCAATTATAGAAGATAAATCTGTGATTAGAAATCTAGAGAGTCATAGAAAAATTCACACAAATGAAGATAAAATATTTTTTGTGGAATCACAAAATTCAGTTCACCATAAACTAAGTGGTCGACAAGCATGCAGCATTGAATCTGCTGGTACTCATTAATTTTAATACACCGAGAGAAAAAGAAAAGAATTGCTTTTAGTTCCTGTCCAAATTCTGAATTTTTTTCTTAGTGACGAGGCAGTTGTGCGATTATATTTATTTGTAGTACACATTAATTCAGCAGATTTCATGAGCCATGCGAATAAATACAGATAACCATAACGATTCAGATTCGCATAACATATAAACTGTTTATAGTAGAATCTGTTTTTAATATGAACAAAAATTTGAATGATTCTTGACCTTGAGCTATTGATGGTGAAATACATTTATTTTTGCGAAGAATGAGAAAAACACAATTTTTTGCCTTAATAATATCCAGCACACATATGTCTGAGAATTCTTTTAATGTTTTCCAAAAATAAATTTTCATTATTCTGATCAAGCATTTTCCACATTTTCTTTTCGAACTTCATTAAGAGCTTCCCGAATAGAGAACGTAACTGGAAAGTATACAATAGTGAAGTTAAAATTTTTGAATATGCAGAAAGGGTTTAGACCTAATTATCACATATTTAATGGCATGAAGCAAATTTCGCCATGATGTTGGGCCACAGATGTTGTGCAGCAAAAGGGTCTAACCGTGTGACAAAAATCTTTGTTATGTCTCATCATGAAGAATAAGTGCAGCATTAGGTTGATATAAGGTTGTTGTTAAGCCAAATTGGGTCTAGAAGTGACATAAATTAGTCAAGATGCTGACTAAACTCCATTTTTATAAAAGTTATAATTGAACGCCTGATTTTGGTTCCGCGTATAAATTCAGTAGCATCACTAGTAACCAAAATCGTCCATAAGTATTACATTGACATTTCTAGGTAACATTAATTTAAAACATTTGAACGATTATGGAAAAGTCGGGTACCAAGCCGGCGTGAATCAGACATGGTACTTGACTCAAATCGAATCCAGCATAATGTCACAGTCACGTCAGCTTTTGCCAGATTTCTATTCTATTAATGGACGTGTGCTATTCGGGGATAACAAATGAAGATGATAACTAAGCCCATACATATTTTAAAGTTCCTTCCTTACAACCATCAAAATTAACAAGTAGAAAAAACTTTTAGTATCCACATACGCACTGTTATTTGCTCAGAATATAGACTCAAATTGTAATACATATTAATACAATTGAGAATTTTAATAATTCATAAATATGTTATCAGCAAATCCTAAATTAGAAAGTAATACATATTTGAGTTGCTATGTATGTAGTTTAATAAAACTCGGTGACATTTACTTTACGCATGAAGCATAAAAGTCAAGTTCTTTTTCTTTCGGTGTATACCAAATGGCAATAAAGAAATAATTTTAAAATCTCAATTTAAATTACTGACCCTTCAACAGCTTTAATGAATGCAAATGCTACAATATTTGTAATATTTCTAACACCAAAGGATCATGTAGAATTAGAACATACAAACTTAACAGACATTTTGCTGCAAATCAAGAATGTTTATTTTGTGTATTTAAACATAAAGTATTTCTCCAAAGATACTCCACTGGAGGATTGGATTAAGACTGATGAATTGAGTAATTCCAAGTATGTTGTATCACACACATCCGATGTGCTACGTTACTTATTGCTATATAAATATTCAGGCTTATATCTTGACATGGATGTCATCACAACATATCCATCTGCTCATATAAATTTAACAAATTTTGCATGTGCTGAGAGTTATAAATGGATTAATGGTGCTGTACTAAAACTTACCGGCAATAGTGGACGTAAAATGGCTGAAAATCTCATTCTGTAAGTGAATATATTCTTCATCTTCATCATCATTTTGATATTTATGGATAAATTTCTTCTTATTTCCTTCTATCTCTGCATGCATACATAATTTAGTGAGGTTAAAAAAAATTTTGATGGTGAGATATGGGGCAGGAACGGTCCAGAATTACTATCTAGAACTATAAAAGAGTTATGTGATGTCTCAAATTTCTACTCAACAACAAAATGTAAAAACTTTACGATTCTCGAGAGAGACAAATGCTATGCCATAAGCTGGGAGGAATGGGAGATGCTATTTCAATCAAGAGATTTTAACATTGCAAGGAAGCGTACAAGAAATTCATACTTTATACATTTGTGGAATCATTTCAGCGCTAGTCGTAAATCTTATAAAAGTTCACATAATGCCTTAAACAGAATTGCTGAAGAATTTTGTCCGAAAGTTTACGAGTCTCTTGACATTTACTTTTAGATTGATGAAATTGAGTTTTAAGCACAAATTAATTTTTATGAGATTTTTTTTTGGAAGATTTTTGACGCTTATAAATTAATTGAGATATTAGAACCAAAGAGCATAAGAATATGTTGTTAATTCTCATAATCTGAGCTGTGATTGTAAATAATTAAATAATAAATCTTTCAGCTTCTTATGAGCTTACTACTATTTTTCTTAGTAACTTGAACCAAATTGTGATTTACTATATTTTAATGAGAAAAAATACTGACATTTGATACTAATTGGAATTAATATTCATTCTTCATTTTTACGTAAAGTTTCAGATTGATTTCTTTCTTAAACCTGGATTCAGCAAAAGGATTGAATTAGTATGGACAGTAATTTGATCTGTCAATCATTTGTCTGGATAACTTTGTGTCAGCATGGGCTTTCTTTAATCAATTATATCAAGTCAAATAAAGGTTGAGACAGAGTTTAAAATCAACAGTTTTGGAGAGTTAAATCATTATCTAAATTTCTGTGGATTCCAAACAAGCTCACTGCTCTATATTGAAAATCCCAACCATTAAAATCTATTTTGAATAGTCGATTCCAGTCCGTTTTAATCAAACTTTATTCTATAAACTTCGAATTCTGTTAAACTTAATTTCAACAAACATTTTAAATTTAACTCCAAAACTAAAGACACTTACTCAAAATCAGTCACCATGGAGATGCTAATTGAGTATATTCATAGCAAATCACATTCAAATATTAATAAATGCTTACATATTCATCGTTACAATCAATTAACAAGTCGAAATTATATTTTAGAAATCGAAATTTATTAACCGAGCTTCAATTTAAACTTTTTGATTCCAGCTAAGTTCCTATAAATTTAATTTCTCTTAAAAAATAGAAAATATCTTTCAAATTCCTTTATTTTTACTTAAACATAAGGTCCCAAAAGCCATAAAAATAGCATAAAAACATTTTTCGAATAAATTTCTCATCCACCCGAGAAGAAAATGCAAAAGAACGAAATGGAACTTTTTTTTACGAGAATGTAAAAATATTGCCACTTTACATAAGCTTTATAGATCACAGAGCATAAAATATATGGCACAATCGAGGAGAAAAAGGCAGCGTTGACCAAAAAAATTTGAATATCAAAAGTTTAAAATAACGAATGGGAAAAAAATTTCATGAATAAATTTTCAACTTTTTCATTTCACATAAAAAACTGTTGCTTTTTAATTTTTTTATGGGAAATATTCATCATGTACGCAATATACTTCACGATACAGTGCCAAAAAAATAATTGTGGTAACTTCGAGAGATAATAAAAGCTGTTAATAATTGGTAGGTTTTACTTATGAATCTTTTTTTATTTCTTTTAAAATGATTAAAATTCTTGAAATTTTCTTTGGGGTTAGTACAAAAGTGACGTCATTCAAGGACTTGTTTGGATTTTCGTGGTTAACAATTTTTCTAGATATGAACTTTTGAAAATTTAAATTTTTTTCCCGAAATTTTACCGAAATTCAGACTCTTTCAATCCTCTTCTGAATAGACTCTTAACGTCAGCACACCCCTTCTCTAAGTTGTGCCTTTCTCATCATTTCTATTCAAAGAAAACTTAATTAAATTTAGATTCAAAATAAATAACTTCTGGCAACAAAACATCTCATCATCGATAAAGCCACGAGGTACAAATTTGCATATTAAATCATTATAGCTATATTCCCATTATTACCCTGTAATTTGGTACTGACAGTGCAATTTTTCCATTCCTTTATTTGATTTTGAGCGCAAATTCAATTGAATTAACAATCAATTTTGAATTCAGCATTGATTTTTTTTCAACTTCTATTTTCACCTTTATTTCTGAAAAATTGCAATTTCGGAAAATATCTGCATGCGGAATACATAAATGGAAATGGCATAAAGGAATATTTTATTTTATCGACGGAAGTAGGAAAAATCGTAATGGAGAGGAAATTAAAGTTTCCGTTGCCCTCTTTACACTTTTTCTTTGAGTTCATACCTTCTTTTTTTTTTTCGTTATCGCTGATTTTTAAAAGCAACAAGTTGCTGCACTTTAAGTTATTTTCTGGTTATTGGTTGTGGAAGAAAATTTTTTAAATTTTTAAATTGATAAAGTTTGATACAAAAAGCTAGTTTGTTATGTATGATGGTATGTTGTTATAAAGTAGTGCTTCTAGAATTGATTCTGAAGTCTAAACATCCATCTCCTTTGGTGAATAGTTTATAGAGACTGATTTTTGGGGTTCTCTTATAGTTTAGTGCATCAATTTTCAATCCTAATGAAGGATGCCTAGTTAAACCCTAATAACCATCCCCTGATCAGTCACAGATGTCAAAAAGTAAGTTTTAAATCTTAAATCGATGAACCTCAAATCCCGCTTTCTCAATGAATGAAAAAACTACAAAATTACAACAAAATCACATGCATAATCTTTATACTGCAATTAAATGAAGTAAATCCTCATTATCGTCATCAATTTACAGCACATTACGATTAATTAAAATGCAAATTACCTTAAAAATGTTCACAATCACTCATTCAATCTCATTCACATATAATGTCCCCGATGAGCTTATAATTAAACCACATTCTTCTTCATCAAATGAGCATTCAGAACATTTTTTTATACATACTAAATAATTTATAAATTCTAGAGAAACCTCAGTCATACTGAAAGCTTAAATCCAATCAAGTCTATTGATCGAATATGATTTTCCAGATTGTGTACCTTAAAATAAATCAATATTGTTCTATGACAATTTCCATTAGCATGTAATTGTAAAGAAAACCACAATCATTTTCTCGAGTGCCTTATAGAAAGCCTTTATCTGTACATTTATTTTACAGAAGCAAGAGCAAAGCAAGCAAAATGTGCACTAAGCAAATACAATAATTGCACTATTCCTCTTTGTTTCAGCACATACCATCGGGTAGAGTGTGTAAGATGTGTGTACATGAATTTAATTAAATGTGGGATGTTATCTAGATTAGATGTGCATTGTTTTATGCACACAATTTCCAAATCGATTGGGAAATCGAGAATATTCATCTTTGATTGTAATGGGAATTAAGAATCAAAATCTTGGACTCTGATTTAGAATTAAAAATGAATTGTTTTACAATAAAAATTCTTAAAGAATGATGTAGGCACTTACATGGCTTTTTTATGTAGCATGTAATAAATTTAAATCTAATCGAACTTGAAAGCTTCATTCTATATGCTCTTAATGTAACCAAATCCCACCTTTACTGTCATTTTTGTTTAGATTAAAAGCATTTTTGGAACTGAAGGCATCAAACTCTTCTTCTACTTTGTTTCAACAAAATTCGTAAACGATAAAACGAAATGTTTGTGTATTACCAGAGGGATTAAGAAAGAAACTCTATCTCCTTCTTGACGTGTTTACCCTGATCTTATTGCTGCTTATTCTTCTTAAGTGAGTGAAATTTCATCACACAATGATACGAGAAACAACAAGCTTTTAATAATGTAGCTATATCACGCACGTTCAAATCCCAAAGCTCGTCAATTCTTTCTGGCAAAAAGTTCTTTATATATTGTTAAGTCATGAGGAATATGCTTTCTTTTCTTATCGGCAATCTTTATAATTATGATCAATGAATCAATCGAAAGTCAGGAATCGACCTATTGTGAGAATCAAATCCAAATCTTAATAAAAGAAGGGTTTAATATGGTTCCTGACTATTTAATGACAGAGACTGCATTAAAGCATTAGTAGGTTTGATTTCATATGACTAAACGCAAGCTTCACTTACCCAAAACTCTCATTCAACTCAATACCGTAGATGGTTACTTCCAGTAACAGTGACTTAGCAAAATGGACCCATGGCAACAAACACCTTTGCTACGTCCCTTCTCTTTCTTATGTATTCAATTCTAATACATTTTTTCAGCTATTTCAAATTCAATTCCAAAATAAGCTTTAAAGTTCAGCTCAACTCAAGTGTAGTCATCAAAAATGTCAAGTCAGCAAGAAGCGACATCTACAAGTCAACTGCATCAAACTCAAAACTCACGATATTTAATACAAATTTATTAATTTTTTTATCAGTGTGTACCTGTCAATAAATTATCTTATCAGCACAATCACTCTCTCGGTAAACTTACAAAAATGATAAGAACTAATTCAGTAGATCCAAACCAGCTGAATGAAGAGGGTTACATTTTTCAGAACTAAGAAAAAAATGTTTATAAACCGATCAAATCGGAAGAAATTGTACATTTCTCTATGTGTCATAGGATTAGTGTTAATTTTATTTTTAATGAGAGATTATATCAATTATGATTGCGATGCAGCTATAATAATTGACAAAAGTTTTGCAGATATCCCTCCAGAAATGTTAAATGAAAATACAATTTTCTTTCTCGAGACGAGCAATTCATCTGATCACAAAATAAGTTCACGTGAAGCATGTGCTATTGAGTCTGCAGGTAATTAAAAATGCAATTGAGTCATGCTCAAATCAGTAGATTGATTGGTTTTGGTTAATTACAAAATTTCGACGAGTTTTTCGACTTCCTGATCCTTTGTCAAGGCACTGTCAGGACACCCCTAAGTCTAGATTATAGTGTAAGCACCTTGAAATGACATTACCTTGGCAACAAAGTTGCATCACTAGGAAATTAAACTACCACTTGAAAATATCAATCCAACAACAATAATTAATGACTCATCTTTTTGTAGCTTACATGAATCCAAACACAAATATAGTTGTGCTGTTTTTGACATTATCAAATCACATAAGACTGAAAAATTGGTCACAGTTCCAGCCAATATTAGATTATGACAATATCCATTTAAGATACTTCCATATGGACGATATCATCAAAGACACTCCAATAGAAAAGTGGATGCAGAAAGGATTATTGAGTCGGTCTTATTATCCTGTGGTTCATACATCGGATATCCTTAGGTACACATTACTGTACAAATATTCAGGAATTTATCTTGATCTAGATGTGATAGTGACACGTCCTTTAGATGAAATGGGATCATCAAGCTTTGCTTGCCATCAAGATGACAAAATAGTTAATAATGCAATTATTAAATTAGGTGGATCAGATGGGAAGGAAGTTGGTCGTTTACTTTTAGAGTAAGTATGAGATATTCTCAAAATTTCAAGTTTTTCATTCCTTTTTAATTTTAGAGAAGTGACTGAAAACTTTAACGGCAGGCTATGGGAAGAAAATGGACCATTGCTCATCACGAAATCTCTAAATAAATTTTGCAAAACTGAAAATCTTTCAGGCATAGATAAATGTAAAGAATTTGATATTCTTTCTATGGATAAGTGTTATGCTGTAAAATGGCAAAGTTGGCATAAACTATTCTACGAAGTCTATGCTGACGAAACTATGGAAGCTGTAAAGCATTCATACTTTGTTCATCTATGGAATGCAAAGAGTAAGGGAACAAAATTGGAAACAACAAGTCGGGCAAGCTTTAATCAATTAGCCGCAAAACATTGTCCACGCGTGCATCAACATAATTCGATTATATGATTTGGATGAATAAAGCATAATTGATTTAATCAGTGGTTTTGGTGTTGTAATGAAATTCATGACATGATGATAATTTTGTAGAACATACATTTAGTGATAATTTTGGATATGTGGTGTCGTTTTTAAGTGATGAATAATTTTTTGAAGGGACTAAAATTGTGTGACATCTTCAAACGGGTTCATTCGGAAAACTTTTTCTATAAAATATTTGTAGCATAGCGAAAAAGAGGGTCTGAATATCAACTCTAATATTTGACGTCATTTGTGAACGATTCTTATTGCTAAGCAGATGCTGGTTTCTAGGACTATCCAAGACATTCTACCCTAAAATTGAAAATCAATGAACTTCATTCTTGGTTATGAATAAACGATGCTAATATGTCTTTAGTCATATTAGGGTAGGTTCCTCCGAGGAGGTCTAGAAACTGGCTTAGGTGCGATACAAAGGAGTTTGACCTTCTGAAGAGGGTTTGCACCTTTCAATTTAATTATATTTCTTTTTAAACTTCTGGTACGGTTAAGATCCTCCTTTTACTAGAACTATGATTAAGTATGTCCATGCTCATCAATTGACCAAAAATGTCTGAAATTACCTAATGTAAATAAATTATTATTAATTTTTATAAATCCCTTTAAAATATTTTCAAAGCAATTTAATGATTATTTATAAAGTGCCTCAATAACTCAGACAGCCTGTCTCAGACTTATAAGGAGCACCTTGATCATAACAATAACAAACTAATTCAAATGTGTGCATCGAATTCAAATGTCCAACAAGAAAAGAAGACCGCTCTCAATTTGCGAACAATTTCAAACAGACTACGAATGAATATTCAAGCATAATTTACAAAAAATAATATTTGACATGTAAACAGCATTAGTTGAGGTAAATGCAAAAAACACACAAAATGTTTGAGAGAAAAGTATCGGTCGAGAGAGCAGCAGTGAGATTTTTTAACATTTTTAATATAGTTTATATATATTCTCCATCTCTGCTGTTTTGTTTCATTCGTGATCATTTCTTCGCGTGCAAAACAAGTTATTTTAGTAGCGCTGGTCTTTATTTTTCTCATTTTTTTTTCGTACAGACAGTGATTTTTTATTTTAGACGGTCTCATAGTATTGGTTATTGTTATTATTGTGCAATTGATCATAAGCGACGCAATATGTCGCAATTTCTCATCAGTTTTTTGGCTTTTTCAACTTTCTTTCACCTCATAACCTGCGATGGGTAAGTTCAACGAATGAAAATGACTTCCTGGATAGATTAAAATCATGACTAAGAAAGTCTAAAGTGATTTAATGGTAGTGATCTCCGTAAATGGTCATCACAGTGAATAAAAAGAAGTAAAAAAGATACACAAACAGACAGAATTCGCGTAGATCTACCATAAAATGAACTAAGCAGTTCTCTGTGTGTTGGCGGTGATTCCAATGAAACGTTGTCACCTTCCTTCTATTTTAGTTGCTGTTGTTATTGTGTTAAGTTTGCATCTAGTATGATTAATACTTATTCGCGTGAAATTCTGAGCTTCACGAAAAAAGATCGAATCGACAGATTTTTTATGGAAATGGAAGAAACTTCTCATCCATGATTCCTTCTAGATTGACGTTTGGCTTAGATAAGTCTAATGCTGTTCAATTGAATATTCTGTTTTAGGTACAAATAAATTACAGTTCTGTGTTATAATTGCTTCTCGTTTTGTATTTGTCAATCCAAACATGGATAAACAAGAACAGCATTGAATGGAATTTATTCAAGTTTAATACCTTTTTTCAATACTCTTACGAACTTTACAGAATGTATTGATCTTTCTTTTTGTGTGCTTCTAGTGATTTTATTTAACTTTGTGGGTGTTGTGCATTAATGACGTCATGTGTCTTTGGGTATATTCTTGACATACCAGAGTCAATAGCTAGCACACTAGGTCTTCGATCCCTCTCTTGTCGCTTACAGCTAGCTTTATCTTTAGCCAGAATTATAAGCAATCCGAGAATTGTAAACTTTATTAGCAGCCGCTTCCTTATTCCCAATATCAAGTGCAATTGTATATCACTCGACAATCAATATCACCAACAAAAAAGAAGCCAATAAATAGAAGAAATTAACAATTTGATTATAATCAAATAAGTTTTAATTCAATAAAAATCCATGAATTAAATTTGATTGCCTAATTTGAAGCTTATAATGACACTTATTAAATTTGAATTTGCATTGAGTAATCTTAAGCGATTATATCATAGATGTTAAATATCGAATGGTGTTCAATCAGGTGCTTCAATTTTATTTTTGGCTCTCTCTCTTGTCGTCTTTAAAATACTGAAGATTTATATTTTGGATTTGTGTGAATAATACTTGTTATTAACAAAGAGTTATTATGGTTCTTGAATGGAGAGAGCTCGAGTCATTTGTATAAAAATAATTTAAATATTCTTAATCAATATTGTTGATCGTCGTTTAAGAGAAGTTAAGAGAATGTTCTCCAGAAGGAAATTGGCATACTGTATGGAAATCAACAACACATAATTTACATTTTAAAGTGGTCAATAAGGTTGTTGACGACAAATGAATCATAAGAATTATCTAGAACAATCGTGAATGATTTTGATAGTACGGAAAAAATTAATTTTGTATTTGTCATAGCTTAATTTCACCATTAAATTGTTTTATAACGACTAAATCTACACAATAAAGAGCGTAAGCTACACCTACTCATACTACATGTACAATTTCATCAATGGCTATTAAACAAAAGCTTTGGTGATGATGACAAAATAATTTGATATTCTGAGATTGATTCAAAAAGCTTAAGATGATGTCTGTTAGGTGGTCTTTGTACTTTATACTGTATATTTACATTTTAATGTGCATTAAACTTGTTATTAGAGTAAAGTGGAATTTTTTGTCTTCTTGATATCTTAAGATTGCTAACAATTTCTTGAAGGTATGTCATTAGAGTCTATTTTGAAGAATTAGGGTTAAAATACGTAGGAGGGTTTAGTAGCTATTTATTGAGTTAGCCTCAATACCAGATTCTTAATTTGTTATATATCGAAGCAAAGTCTATCAAGGGTTGACAAGAAAAAAACAATACCAATTCCTGGAAATCCATTGTTCTTTTTTGAAAAACGACCGTGAATTTAAGATACAACTGTTATCTGTAGATCTAGGTTTAAACCAAGTTTAAACCACAAGACAGCGGCCTAGTGAAACTTCGTTCTATAAATTTATATTAGCAGCGAAGCATTTAAGGGGTCGTTCACTTATGACGTCCGAAATTAATGGTCATTTTTCAAAAAACAACAATGGATTTCCAGGAATTTCTATTGTTCTTTTCTTGCTGACCCCCCCCCCCCCCCCTACCCTGGACGTCATAAGTGAATGGCCCCTAATGAAAATAGCTAAAGATGACTTTCTTCTGTGTGTATTCAACTAATATTCAAAAATAGAAATAATCAATAATAAAACCCATAAAACCTAATTAAGCCCAAACTAGAACTTGAAGTTTAGTCCATTAAAACCACTCTACCATGGTCAAACTATAAAAATTATCAAAACATATACACACGTGCCTAAATTTCAAAATGTAGATGATCAAACTTTCCACTTCCTGCATTAATTTTTATCGTAGTTGCATCACATGTGTATTGCAATAAACTCATCAAAATGTATAAATTTGAGCGATAATAATCGCATAAAAACATCCCATAATTACGATTTACTTTTTTTTTGCCATCATTTGCGATGATGAAATCACAGTGATGATGACAAACATACGAAAAATGGCATATTTACATGAAAATTGGCCGTGAAATTGCCTTGAATTGCGTTTTGTCACGTAAATATTTTTATTTACAAACTTTATCAGTTTTTATTCTGTATGGGAATTTCCTAATGTGCTTATATCTTTTGAAATTAACAAACTGTATCATTTTTAGGTACTTCACAATTGTAGGCTCAAAAGTCATTCGTCCAGATACTGATTATCATTTAGCAATAACAAGTCAGGGATACAAAGATCCCACATCTTATAAAATTAGCATCAATGGAACTGACGACGACGGTGGAAATTATCAGCAGTCAAAAGACATCACAATATCCAGCGATGGCACACAAACACTCATTTTTGATGTAAGTAAAGTCATTGATGACATAATCTTTTACTCTCTAAAAGCCCCTCTCTTTCTCACTTGATTTCTTGTGCTTATACATTGACAAGCTTAAGTGGATGAGATTAAAAAAAAAATCATGAACTTGAAAAATATGTATGTTAATTTAAATACACCGGCTGACGATTTTCATCTTCTTCTATCTGTTATGTTTTGTTTATATTTGCGTACAATCCACTTTGGATTAATTTACATTTGACACAGTTATTCAGGCTCAAATATTTAGCATTGCATTGTCATATTAATTAATTTTGAATGCAAATTTATTCCCCACATTATTAATTTAAATCTTCTTTCCTTCTCACAGCTCAAAAATCTCCGTCAAGGCGATTATAAATTAGATGTCATGAGCACCAATGGAGTTGAGTTTCATAAAAGTGTGGATTTAGACTTAAACACGAAGAAACATTCAGTATTAGTGCAAACAGACAAAAGTATTTACAAGCCAGGCGATAAAGTTCAATTTAGAGTGCTTGTTCTAGATTCTAGTACACGACCATACTTGTCAACAAATGTACAAGTTTATGTTACAGACGGTGGAAAGAATCGTATTAAGCAGTTTGATAATGTTCGGCTAGTAAAAGGAGTTTATCAAGATGAATTGCAGTTGTCAGATTTACCGGTTATGGGAACATGGCTGATTCATGTAAAAGTCGATAACGGAGATGAATCTTTTAAATCATTTGAAGTTGCTGAATATGTCTTGCCAAAATATGAAGTCATTGTTGACTCTAATCCTCATGTGACATTTAAGGATGGAAAAATTCGAGCCACAGTTCGTGCAAAATACACATACGGGAAACCAGTTAAAGGACAAGCTACAGTCTCAGCATATCCAGTATTATGGCTAGGAGCTGTTCAACCCTTCATTCAAGACAGCATTGTCCGTAAAGTCATTCAAGTTGATGGAAAAGGATCGACAGAATTCGACATTCGTAATGAATTGAAAATTGAGAGTGATTATGAACGTTATGTCAATATCGAAGCTATATTTGAGGAAGAGCTGACAGGACGTAGACAAAATGGAACAACACAAATCACCGTCCATAAATACAAATACAATGTTGAGTTGATAAAGGAAGCTGAGAACTATAAGCCAGGACTTCCATACAACTTAAATATTAGGGCAAGCTATCATGATGGATCTCCATTGACTGACAAAGCAAATCCAGTCACAGTCATCGTCTCTTATTTATATAGTGAGGAAAATGCTACGTCAACTGATTACCTTTTGGATGATCATGGAATGGCAAAAGTTGAGATTGATGTTCCTGTAAATGCTACACATCTCAGCATTAAGGTAAATACTTACTGTCTGAGAAAAAATTCCATAAAAGGCAAAGAACATGCTTATCGGTTCCAATCTTTGTTACTTCTGAGTGTGTTCTTTTGCTATTTAGGATAGGATATAAGTTTAATGAACTGTCTAATTTACAGGCTAAATATTTGGATTCTGACTTCTATTTGGGATACATAACTCAAGCAAAGTCACACAGCAATCAATTTATTCAAGCTAGAATAGTCACTGAAAAGTAAGTTTCCAGTCAATTTTCAAATTAAATTCCAGAAGAAGAGGAACTCAACTAAGATTCTTATTTGAATTGGTCTACTGCATTCAAAATCTTAGTCAACCTCTCCCTCTGAAACCTAGTCATGCCTAAATCACATTAATTTCTTACATTACTTCCAAAAATAGACCAAAATTAAACCAAGAAATCTCAGTAGATGTAATTGCCACAGAAGGAATGTCCCAAATAACATATCAAGTCTTAGGACGAGGTGATGTTATAGTATCGAAATCACTACCAGTTTTTGGCAGCAACAAGTATAATTTCCGTTTCCTTGGATCATTTGCAATGGTTCCAAAAGCAACTTTAGTTGTGTATTACATTAGAGAAGATGGTGAAATTATTTCTGATCATGTTAAGATTGAGTTAGGCGATGAGCTGAATAATTTTGTGAGTATGAAGTTTTGACCTAAACTATCAGTCTTTAATTGACCTGGATTTATAACAATCAATACTTAATTTCCTATTACATCTTTAGATTGACCTTGAACTTTCACAAGACCAAGCAAAACCAGGCGATGATCTCAGCATTACAATCAGCACAAAACCAAATTCTTATGTCGGACTTTTGGGTGTCGATCAAAGCGTCCTTCTTTTAAAGAAAGGCAATGATTTGGAAAAGTCTTCAGTTTTTGAGGAACTTGGAAAATTCAACGAAAAGACTCGATTCCATAGAAGATATTATGGTGATTTCTATGGAAGTTACAGCGACTTTGACATATCTGGAGCTGTGATTGTAACCAATGCAAAAGAGGAAATTCGTAAGATTTTTATGTTCTTTCTTAATGCACACTTCCTATATTTAATGAGCACACAAAATTGAAAAATGTAGATGAAGAAATATTTGAAGAGGTACAATATGGTATGATTGGTGATGCCCTTGAATGGCCTGAAAGTTTAGATGAACAAATAGATCGTATTGACAATTCCATTGATGAAAACGAATCACATGAATCTAAAGAATCAAAAGGTCCAAATATTCGTAAAAACTTTCCAGAAACCTTCATTTGGGATACGATTGAGTACGTTTAGCTATAAAACCTCTAAATTTTCTATAGTCTGGAATGCTTTCAATGTGAAAATTAACACTGTATCTTTTTATTGTCATGCCTGTCTTCAATTCAATGTCTGTCCTTAGTCCTTTATTCTAAAACCTTTGAAACCTTTTTTAATCACAGCAGAACTGATTTCAAATTGAGTAATTAAACTTCCTCGTAGGAGAACCTTTAATCCTTTACGATAGAATGGCAATGGCTGCTGATAGTGAAGTTGCAATACCTTTATCGGCAGCTGGTAGTTCAGAACTTCCAGAAATCAACCAACCAAAAATTCGAAAAGACTTTCCTGAATCATGGATTTATGAATATTTTGATGACATTGGGTTAGTTTAATTAAGAAATTATTTGAGTGTGGATTTTTTCTCACCAACGAACAAGCACTTAAGACTTTTAGCTCATACAGCACATAGCAATTCAATATGTTCACATTTTGTTGCATTAATTTCATCCACATCAGGAAATATGAGAATTTACAATCATCATGGACGTCTGACACACTTGAAAGGTGGTCCAGTGCCAAAAATGACATTAATGCGAAAAGCTAGCGCTCCAGATGGAATAGATGAAAACATTCAAGTAACTGAGCCTAAAATTCGTAAAGATTTTCCCGAAACGTGGCTTTTTGAGACTTTTTCATGTCAAGAAAACGACACCGAAGAGTACGTAAAGTTTTCAATATAATAATCTGCTATTGAATGTTACTTCTATTCTTATTCTGTTGAATGTGACTTCACACTACTTCTTTTCTATATTCTCATTATGCACGGAATCATAGCTAGTGGATGAGTTTTACATGAGTTTCTAAGATATTTTGTCAAAAAGAAGCTTGCTTATATGCAAGAAATGACTTCAGAGCATTTTTAAGCTGGGATTCTCGTCTAATAGGCGAACTTAAGAGTATAGGGTGAAACTTACTTCTAAGGACGTGCCATGCCTCTAGTCAAAGCTTTTTGTGAATCTCAAAACCCTCAAAAAATCTTAAGACTGACTTTAGTAGGACCAAATTTCTTAAATCATCGAATTAAAAACCAAGGCGTGGACACTCAAAATTATGCTGGAATTGTTGAGAATTATTTGGGATTATTGAGGATTATTGGGATTAATCCCACGTATCCACGACTTGTTAAAAATTGTCTATTCAAAATTAATAACCAAAAGACCTTTAAAACATTTCGTCTACATTAGGAGTATTTGATTATGAATATGAAGAAGAAGAAGGGGAAATAGAAGATAGATTTTCCTTGCCATTTGAACTTAATATTGCCTCAGCCGTGAAACCGGTAGCTGACGTACAAAAAGAAACATCCACAGAAAGAGAAAATAATTCACGCGATATAAAAGCGCCAACGATTCGCAAAGCATTTCCTGAATCTTGGATTTTTGAGTCATTCAATTCCAATCAGACAAATAGCAGTCACGGGTATATGAAAGCATAACTATTTATAATTAGTCTCAATAAGACGTTTGATGGTGCTTATGTCCTTTTTTTCATAACAATCTACTTGTGTGCTAAGAGGCCGTTCACTTATGACGTCCAGGGGGGTCAGCAAGAAAAGAACAATTCCTGGATATCCATTTGAAAAATGACAGTTCAATTCGGACGTCATAAGTGAACGACCCCTAATAACATTCATTATATTTTTTGGGAAGATTGACTTATTTTGTTTTGTGCGTGGAGATCCATTACTCATTCATAAACCAACACTATGTAAATTTTCAGATAATGTAAAAGTAGGATATAATCCATTCCAAAATGAAATATCAAAAGTTAAGCAAATTGAATTTTCAACAATAAGAACTGAGACGAGACCTCCATTGGCAGGTCCATATGCATTTTCCCGTATACCCAAACCGCGTTGGGATCATCCACGAATTCATTTAAAGCATGGTATTGAAAACACGTGGTTATTCATGAATTCATTTTCTGCTGGGTATGTAGAATGTTTATAGTCTGTTACATGTTTACTAACTCTTTTGGATAACAAAAATGATAACTTAACATTTTGATACTTTATTTTCAACTTTCAACTTTTCTTTTTCTGGTAATGGATATTGAATGAACTAATTCAAGGTTTAACATAATGGAGATGGTAATGGTTGGTGGTATGCATGAGATATTCCTTAATTTGTATTGAATCTTGATAATTTAAGGATCCGAGCAGCACAAGGATAAAGAAATCCATCGCAAAGACGTAAGAGATCCCATCATGTGCCACTCGATGATTTTTCCTTTAAAATCCTCAAATTATCAATAAAAGCATCCTTTCCGATCCAAAATCTAATCTCTTTATCCAAATTTAGATACGACGGAAAGACAACAATCTCAAAGAAAGTCCCAGACACAATCACATCATGGATTATCACTGGCTTTTCTGTTGATCCATTAACCGGTCTCGGATTGACTAGACAACCATCAAAATTCAATGTTTTCCAGCCATTCTTTGTGTCAACAAATCTACCATATTCCATTAAGCGTGGAGAAGCAGTTGCAATTCCAATTGTTGTATTCAATTACATGGAAACTGATCAACGAGCTGAGGTCAGACTATACAATGACGAGAAGGAATTTGAGTTTGTTGAAGTCAGTGATGATGAAAATAATTTGAACAGAGAAAAGAGAGCAATTGAGACACAAAGAAGGAAGAATGTTGTTATTAAATCGAATAGCGGCTCTTCTGTCTCATTCATGATTCGTCCATTGAAGGTCGGTCAGATTAAAATCAAGGTCACTGCTACATCTCAAAATGCAGGCGATGGATTGGAAAGGATGTTGATTGTTGTGCCTGAAGGTGTGACTCACTATAAGAATAAAGCTGTTTTTGTAGATTTGAGGAATGGAAATGAAGTTAAGGCAAATATTAATATTGATATTCCTAAAAATGCTATTCCTGACTCCGTACATGTTGAGGCATCAGCTATTGGAGATGTTTTGGGACCTTCAATCGAGAATATTGATAAATTGATGTAAGTCATGATTTACTTTATATCCATACTTAGATACTTAATAACTCTTCTAATTCCAGAAAATTGCCATACGGATGTGGAGAGCAGAACATGCTTAACTTCGTTCCAAACATTGTCGTCCTTGATTATCTCACAAACTTAAACAAACTTAATCCTGACATTGAATCAAAAGCAAAGAAATACATGGAAACAGGATATCAAAGAGAATTAGGATATAAACATAATGACGGTTCCTACAGTGCATTTGGAAAGAATGACAAATCGGGATCAACATGGCTTACAGCATTTGTTGCCAAATCTTTTAATCAAGCATCAAAATACATTCTTGTGGACAAAGCTGTTGTAAAGCAAGCTCTAGAATTCTTAAAGAATGTCCAAAGTGCCAATGGAAGTTTCCCAGAAGTTGGACAAGTTTCACATAAGGACATGCAAGGTGGAGCTTCAAAAGGTATTGCACTGACTGCCTACACATTGATTACATTCTTGGAAAATGAAAGCTTCAAAGACGAATATAGGAACACAATTAATAAGGCTCTTGACTATATTGTAAGGAACTTCAATCAACTTGAGGATAATTATTCATTAGCTATTGCAACTTATGCCCTTGAACTTGCCAGACACGGTTCAAAAGATGCCTTCCTTGCTAAATTCGACAGCAAAGCTACAAATAAGGATGGTATGAAGCATTGGGCAAAAGCTGTTGCAGAATCTGACGAAAAAAGTCCATGGAATCTTCAACCAAATGCCATCAATATCGAAATGTCTGCTTATGGCTTACAAGCTTTACTTGAAGCTGGATTAGACTCTGACGCAATTCCAGTTATGAAATGGCTTGTTACACAAAGGAATGAAAACGGTGGATTCCAATCAACACAAGACACTGTTGTTGGTCTTCAGGCATTGTCAAAGCTTGCCACAAAGATTTATGTCCCAAATAACAATGTCTACATGAATCTCGAATATTCTGAAGGAACTGCAGCCCAAATGAGTGTTAATCCTGGCAACACATTGATTCTTCAAAAGTATGACTTACCAGCCGACACAAAGGAAGTAAATGTTACCGCAACTGGACGTGGCTTTGCCATTCTCCAAATATCCTATCAGTATAATCTCAATGTGACAGGCGCTTGGCCACGATTTGTATTAGATCCCCAAGTGAATCGTCTATCCAACAAAGATTTCCTTCATTTAACAGTATGTACAAATTTCGTGCCTGACAACTACACAGAAAAATCGAATATGGCTGTTATGGAAGTTTCATTCCCAAGTGGATTTACATTTGATGTTGACACGATACCATTCTTAAGGGATACACAGAAAGTGAAGGTAAGGTTGATGATTTAATTTATCATTGCCTTTTAAATTAATGCTAATGAATTACAGAAAGTTGAGACGAAAGAGGCAGATACAGTCGTGGTTGTGTATTTTGATGAAATTGAAAGAACTGAGCTTTGTCCTGTATTTAAAGCATATCGTACTCACAAAGTTGCTAAGCAAAGACCTGCACCTGTTATAATTTATGACTATTATGATAGCTGTAAGTATTAAATTCAGTTAATCCTCATGCGACTCTAACATGTGATACTTAATTATAGCACGAAGAGCTACGCAGTTCTATTCAGCAAGACCAGCAAGTCTTTGTGATATTTGCGAACAAGAGGACTGTACAGAAGTTTGTAAAATTCGCGCATCAAGAAGAATATCGAATGATACAGAATCAGGCGAATTTAACAGAATTAAAGATTCCAAGGGTCATGCTAATCAAATGTCTAGTCCATTAATAATTTTGTTTATGATCGCCATAACAAAATATATCTTGAGAGTTTAAGGAACGTTGTCTGAATGTTAATTAATTAATAATAAGTAAGGTTGTGACTGCAAGCAAAGTAACAAATTTTTCCAATTGCGCTTCGAATTTTATTTTTTGTCATTTTTAAAAGTTTTTAATAAAGTTAATCGAAATTTTCCAACTGACGCTTTTGTTTTAGAAATTAAATGTTAAAGGAGTCGTTCGTTTATTTCAGTATGGTCCACAAAATGATGAATATGGTGTCATTCATCTTCAAATAAACAAATTTACAGACATCCACAAAATCCTTACTAGATGATAGACATCGTAAAGACGTCTCAAATGAACTGCCCTAGGATCTGTTCATAACTTACTTACTTCGATGACCTTACAGATCAATTGTGATCCATAGCCTTCCTCAGATGCCGCCGAAAACTGGCTAATTTCCTATACCAAATGCAATACTGTCTCTATCAACAGCCTCTCTCCATGAGTTCTTTGGTCTAAATCTGTTCATAAATGACATCCATATAAGGCGTGAAAACTCAGGATTAATCCTGAAAATTCCCAAAAATCCTTAAAAATCCCTGATGCATTTGATGAATAACTTCGGGATTTAAAAGAGATTTCACATTTCCATGTTTATTGGCTCAGGGATTTTTTAAGGATTTTTCAGGATTAATCCTGAGTTTCCACGCCTTGCGTCCATAATGAAAAAGAGTTTTAGAACTCTTATTTTATAAAATTTGTATTGATAAATTTCTTTTTAAACCACCACAAAACCCCAGACAACTCTTACCCCTAAATGTTGATAAATGACGTCCCCTTATCACTTTTAAACAATCCTTTCGACTCCATAATTTCCCATTTTAGTTCCCTAGCTAAAAACGCGCTTTTTCACAATCATTAATTCACATGCTATGCATTCGAAAATTCAAGCCCATAAGTTACTTGTTGCCATAGCTACAAAACGCATTGCAAACATAAAAGTCTAGTCAACAAAAATAGTCAGCATCAAAATAAAATTAAATTAAAATGAACTGCAAGCCAATATTTTCGTTCTCAATTGACATGAAATTGTCAGATAAAGGAGTTGTTGTAGGCAAATATGATGCAGTTAATCCTAGTCTTACAGCAATCACCCAATCAAATAAAGTAAGTCTTAAAAAGTTAAGCAACCGGTAAATGTTCCTTAAAATTCTCTTTCAGATTATCATTCACAGTCCAAACACTCGATACAACATGTTCAATACACAAAAGGCATGGTCTGAGATCAAAAAGGATATCGGAATGCTTTCAGTAAATTACACAATAACATCAATAGCTACAGGAAAGCTATCAGATTCTGATAAGGAATATTTAGCCATTGGCACGGAGACAAATATTTTGGTTTATCAAGTCGACGATAACATTGAAGTTTTCTTTAAGGATGTGTCGGAGAGTGTGAGGTGCATGACAATTGGTAATATAGACATCTCCTATCCACCATTATTGCTTGTAGGCAGCAATACAACCGTAAAAGGATATAACGTAAAGGGAGATGAGATTTTGTGGATTGTCATTTCGGGTGTCGTAAATTCCATCATACTATTTGACTTTAATCGTGACAATGATCAAGAAATAATACTTGGATGTAATGATAAAATAAGAATTTATAAACAAGATAAGTTCATAAAGGAATTGAACGAGAATGCTCCAGTAAAGCAGATATCACCATTGGGAGCACAATTGCTTGCCTTTATACTAAAAAATGGAACAGTTGGAGTTTATGAAGAGCACGTACGTCTATGGCGAATTAAGTCAAAAAGTTGTGCGACATGTTTGGCATCATTTGATTTACTTGGAACAGGTACACAACAAATCATTCTCGGATGGGAAAGTGGAAAAATTGATATTCGAGATCCACGTTCGGGGGATGTGCTCATGAAACTTATATCACCAAATAAGGTTGTTGGATTGATTGTCACAAACTATCGTGGCATGGACAAAGATGATTTGATTTGTGTCACCGAGCAAGGAGAAGTTCAAGGATATACATCCTCAAATGTCAATTTAGCTCCTCTCACAGCAACCGAAAGTTCACAAATCAAAGAATTATTGGCAGCAAAACAAAAGTTGATGCTTGAGCTGACGCACTATGAAAATAACTCAAAAGTTAATGAATTAATTGGAAGTGGAGCTGCTGAAGATTCTGTAGCTGCAATGAATGCATTGAAAAGTATATCAGATGATTTTGCAGTCATACCAGCCAATACTCGTCTACAAATTGCAATATCGACTGACGGTACGAAGCAATCAAGTGTAGAAATTGGCATCAGCACTAACAACTCGACGATAATTAAAGCTGTCATAATATTTGCTGATGGAATTTTCCCGAATGGAAATGAAACGCTGATTGTTCATCCACCAACAAAACGTGCCAATTCAGGCTCTTATTCATCTATGAATGCTTTAAGTAATCGTACTGGTGGAGTTTCTAGCATTGTTGTTCCTTTAAAAATCCCAAAAGATGATCCCGTCGATGTTCATATTAAAGCATTTGTTGGAAGTGCTGATGGGAATCAATATCATGTGTTTGAACTTAATCGTCAATTACCAAGATTCTCTATGTATTCACTGCATGAAAGAATCACTGGCTCACCAAAATGTTTAAGTGAAATCAACAGGCTGAGTGAAGATCATTTATCAGCAGCACCTGAGAGTTATGTCAAATTTAAAGTAACTGAACGTGTTAATCGCTTCTGCATGTTCATAAATCAAAACTTTCTATTGCCAGCTGATATAGAGCCAAACTCAACAGAGACAGAAACGTTTGATTTCTTAAAAGTTTCTTTAATTTGCTTACGTGACAGTTCACCGCTGGTTATAACATTCTACAATGATTCCAACATTTTAATTCAAACTGAGAATATTGAATTGGCTGGCAATCTGATTCAAGCTATGTCACAATTCATGAATGTGGCAAATTTAGAGTCTGTTGCTGCATTTCCATCTGTTGTAACAAAGTTTCGAGAGCTGTTTGATAAGTTGCAAGGATTGCAAGAGTCATCGAATGTCTTGAAGACTGATACAGCATTGAAAATCAATTTGTCAAAGATTTTAGTTCTACGTGCTGAGGATGCAAAAGTAACAAATATGTGAGAATCTTATAAATTTACGTTTAATGTTAAAGTATCTAATATTTAATTAATTTTTATTAGGGAAAAGCTATCAAGCTATTACAACGAATTGATGTTGACAAATGAGGAACTGCTGACATCATTTAAGATTAGAAGTGAAAATTACAATGAAGTTCAACGATTATTGAGTGAAATTAATCAAACTCTTTATCATGCTCAAAGATTAAGAGGTAATTTTAAAGCTGATTGCTTGTCTTGAATGGTCTACAATCTATGCGGCTATTTTATGGCTGATTACGGCTTAATCAGTTTAAGGTGTTTATATTGTAGTGGACGTATGATGAAACTTTATTAGAGGAGGAGGCTAAATAGTTGTTTTTTGCGTTACGTAATAAGTGAATGGCCCCCGTACATGTATTGAAGTTAGGAACTTTGTCCTCTTCTCAGGAAGCTCTTTTTCTATTACACCGTTCTAGTTACATAGCTCGTTCGTGTCTTGGGTATAGTTTTGAGGTCTTCGGCACATAACGTGTCTCCTTTGATATGTAGGTATCCTAGAATCTGGATGATTCAATTACAGTATCTTGTGCACACGAATTGTGACTAGGTATATTAAAGGACTCATCAGGTCTTTAGACGTACTCGTGTCTTTGAAATGTTCAGAGCTAGTAAGTGGTTCGGATTCCACTATAAACTGTAGGTCTAAATAGTGTAGTACAATAGATTCTGTTCTAATTTGAATCGCAGTGCCTACAGCTCAAAAGACTGGGCCCTCTCCATGCTTTACCTATTTCTCACGTGTTCCGGGCTTCAAGGGTCTTTAATTCTCAAATTTTGTTTAATGTCATTTACAACCTTATCAATTCTATTTTTCAGTTGGATCTGCATCTGCAAAAATGATGTCAAGCTACAAAGAAGCCTTAGAGCAAAAAAATATTGAAAAGTTGATTCAAATTATGGAAATAAGTGGATAAAATAAATGACTAAAGAACATTACAGCTTATAAATAATTGTGTCACGAAAATAAGTCAAATTACAGGAACATTGAACTTGTTATCGATAGCTTTAAAATTTTATCTTTTGTTGATATTTCTTTAGTCAGCGTCGAGGAAAAAGATTCGGATTTAATAGAAGATTGAGTCTTAGGAATGAAGGAAATGGTGAGGAACATGCAATTTCTTTAGTTTGCAGCGTTTCCCTTGAAATATTTCTGACTAATTACATACTGAAGTTGATAAGAAACTAAAGCTTAAGTTTATTTCACAACCATTTTTCCCAACCTTAGACCATCAAAGTCTATCAGTCATAAAAGTTATGATTGGTTAGATAAACGTGTTATCAATATTTTTGTTTGCCTGACTCATTTAGAGTTGGATTTTTTGTGAAAACGCACGTGTTAAAAGTTCCGGACATGAAATTTATATTTAATAGAAAAATTTTAATATTAATCGGAATTAAATTGCTACTTTTTTATGGGATTCACAAAGTTTATAGAAAATATAGTTCCGAATGGGAAAGATGTAAGGCAAATAGTGCGATAATAATTGAAGACAGCTTTAGTGACCTTCCAAGAGAAAAGATAATCAATGATGCAATTTTCTTTATCGAAACAACAAATTCTACTGATCATCAATTGACAGCACGTCAAGCTTGTGCGATAGAATCTGCAGCTTATGTAAATCCAAACAAGGAAGTTATCGTTTTATTCCTTACAGCCTCAAATTATATTAGGCTTCGGCATTGGCCACATTTTAAGCATTTATTAAAGTACAAGAACATTCATTTGAGATATTTTAATATCAATGACTTAACAGCAGACACACCATTCGAAGAATGGATTGAAACTGGATATGTGAGCAATTCTCCATACCAAACTTCTCATCTTTCAGACATTCTACGTTATGCTGTTTTATACAAATATTCTGGCTTATATTTAGACTTGGATGTCATTACAATCAAACCAATTGACAGTATTAAGCATAAGAACTTCGCATGCTTGGAAGAGAATCGAAAAAGATTTCAAAGTATAAACGGGGCCGTCTTAAGAGTCAGTGATCAAAATGGACGTTTATTGATTCATATGATGATAGAGTAAGTTTAAATTGCCATATTAAGGATGCTCAAAATTTTTAAATTAAACTTTTTAATTCCAGTCAAGTCATTAAAACGTACGACAGTCGAAAACATTGGGATATTGGACCTAGACTAGTAACAAAGGTCTTAAAAGAATATTGTGAAATAGACGACTTTTTAAAGACCACAGAGTGCAAAAACTTCAAAATCCTTCCAATAGAAAAGTGCTATGCAATCGAAGGATATGAATGGTATAAATTTTATAGAGAATCAGACACAAAATTAGCACTTAAGTCAACAAAAGACTCGTATTACATTCATTTATGGAATTATCAGAGCAGTAAGAACAAAATATCAAAATCAAAAAATGTTGCATTTAATGTTTTGGCATCAAAGTATTGTCCATTGGTGTATGAAAATAATGATGAACTGTAATTGGTACGGAAATAAATTTAAGGCTGTGATTATGCTTTCTCGCTATCGGGATCGGGATCGGGATTTCCCGGGATTTACCGATCCCGATCAATCCCGGGATCCCGAAATTTATCGGGATCGGGATTGAAAATCCCGGTTTTTTAATTTAGGAAATTATTGATGTTTTAGAACCTGCTAAATACGCGACAGAAGAATTATTGCGTAAATCAGACGATTTATTAATTGCTGAAGGAACAATTAACTTTTTGCTAGACGAATTGTTGCTACAAGGAACATTATTGTCTCAAAAGGTTTACGATATGAATTGCGCTCGCATAGGTGCACGAAGAAATGGAACATTAATTGACTTAATACTTTACCTCAATATATTTCTTTAGACAAGCATTTTAAATCGTCAACAAAAGCTGCAATACATAAACTTGGCATTGACTTATTGAAAAAGTATTTTGTCAAAAACTCTACAAATGGAGCTATGGAAGCTTCAACATCCAGTGCAAATCAAATCCAACCGTCAAACATTTCTATTCGAGATAGACTGAAACTAAGCATATCTGAATATACATCATTAACAACAGATGCAGCAGGAACAGAACCAAATAACTTGAAAAGAGAGTTTAATTGGTATGACAAAAATAAGAAGAGAACCGTTTTGTTAGATCAACTTTACGATGCATTGATAACAATGCAGCCGACCTCAACTCAAAGCGAACGAAATTTCTCTATTAGTAACAACATTCTTACAAAACAAAGAAAACGTTTACTTGACAAGAATCTAAATGCAATTGCATTTGTTAAAAGTTTTTTCATTAATGCTTAATTTTTATTATTATATTCACACCGTTTTCTATAACCTTTAAACTTACATCTTTATCAACATTTATTTTCTATTTTTGTTTATGTTCACATTTTTCAAAGGAAACATGGATTAAAACATCTACCTTGTAACACATAAATTATAACTAATTAATTAAGGAATAAATGACCGTATAAGTAGCAAAAAAATATACAATTTTTTTTGGAAAAAAAAGCAGAAAATGCTGTTTTTTAAATTTTTTTACATATTCGGGATTCCCGGGATTTCCCGGGAAATCCCGAAAAATTTCAATCCCGATCCCGATCCCGAAAATTTGTCGGGACCGGGATTTCGAGAAAGCATAGCTGTGATCAACAATTTATGCTTAAATTCACTAGCAATAATAAAATAACTTTATTAAACGCATGCGAAAAACGACAAAATTACGATACAAATTAATGTACTCGATTATTTAAGTATTTACCTTAATTAATACTGAACGAGGGCGGCTTGAAGGACATAAACATGATCACTTGATGCTACAGAAAGAACCTCAACTTTATTGTTGATTTGAATGTTTGACAAGTCATATGCATCAGGTATCATCGTTGTGTCGTCAATAATTTCAACGAAATTGCTACTTCCAGAATATGTGTAGATATTAAGTGCTTTTGTTGGATCTCTCGTAAGAATATATAGCAATAAGTCACCCGAAGGAGCTTTAGAGAATTTAACTGTTGTTGGAATATTTAAAGTCAATTTCTGCAAGTGCTCGAACTTCATTTCATGAATAGGACTAACATAGATGTTAATATCACCACGATAAACAGTCTGATCTGCCTTGTCTGATCGCACAACTAAATATATTTTATTTTTGTAAATGGCACTAGCAAAACTTGCTGGATTCATGACTGTTGGAAGTGTGTAGAATTTATCTTCGTACCAAACTTGAACCTTATCTTCATCATTTGATATTACAATAATATTATTCTCGGACCAAATATTCTTAATTGGTCTTGTCTTGATAACTGTTTGTGCCTTTCCATCACAATTAATTAATATATTCTCAAATGAACGTCGAATTGAGCCATAACAAGGCGATGATCCATCTCTCCATGTAAACGCAGTCATCGATTCCTTTCCATTCATATTTGCGACAGGTTTGAATGATTTAATTTCTGGATCATATTGAAGCAATACTTGAACAAAAGTACCGATTCCACGTTTATCATAAACTTCCAAAAACAAGCAATCATTACCTCCATAAATAATCTTGTGGAATTGAGTAGTTTGGAATAAATCAGGATTATATCCCTGCGGTGTTATTTGCTTATCTTCATGGAATAGTTTGTCTTGTGGATTCCATCTATAGAATGTTATTACTTCTCTCTCACTACCACCACGAATTCCAAGAACATATTCAGTTACACGATCATGTTTGAATGAGAACAAAACAGTATTTTGGACATATTTGCTGGCAATCGTTTGATGATGCTCAAAATGACTCAATTCAACTACATTGTCAGCTAAACTTCTCATCAGATCATCTCCAACTTGTGTCAAATATTCCATATTATCTTTAAATTTCATCAATTTATTGTTGGTCGATGATCCTTTAAGGAACTCTTTCATATCAGTTCCATAAATGCTGTTGTCTGTCAAAATTGATTCCATTTTTAATTCATTTTCAAAAATGATCTGCTTAGAGTCAATAAATGGTGAATCTCTAGTGAATGCATTGTCATGAAATTCATTCCAATCTCTTCCATTAATGCCATCTTTAAGTGACAAATTTTCTATAAAGATTTGCTTAAATCCACTAGTTTCATGCGGCATATTATTAATTGTAACATCCCCGCTAATAACTTGTCGTTCACCAGATTTTGTTAAAATATTCTCAGGTCTGATGTCGATTCCATTGACAGTTCCATGAACTTGTAAATTATTCGTCACATAAACTGTATTTTTGAATGTAACATGTCCATTAATGATCTGCTGCTCTGTTGTATTTGTTTTTACAGAATTTTCAATCCAATCAATCACATCGATATCATTAATAAACCGTGTATTAACATTATGTGCTTCTAAGGATCTAAATTTCTTATGTCCTGTCACAACAGCTGTATGGAAATTTCCAGCATGCAAAATATCCGTTTGAACATTTACTCTGTTAATTAATCCATTAAAGTCACCATACAGCACTAACCTGCCAATTTTCCAATTTCCAATAATATCTTGATCAATGTTATGCCGCAAGACATTAGTCTCAAAGTGTGAGATGTTAAGAAGCGTATGATCGTCTCTGTAAAATAACGGCTGAATTAATTTTAAATTTGTATATTTTTAAAAGTTTCAGTTCCCTCTCAAAACAGAAGTAAAAATCAAGGCAAACAGATTTTTCAGTAAAACTATAATTTACATCCTAAAACTAATTGATTGAGCAACAACTGTGCTGAGAATTATTCTAAAACAATAACTGAATAGTTCCTGTATATAAATAGTGTCGGTTCCATTGAATAAATGAGAAATATCAAAGGTATGAACTTACATTTTTATGAATTTTGGTACGATGACTTTCTGAGTGTGTAAACTCTTTTCTGCGACTAATGTTCCAAGGACATTTAAATTGGATGTTATATGCTGATCAATTGTCTTGCTAAGATAAGTTTTCTGTACATCATCAAGCTCCTTGCCATTCAGTTCCTATATTATGAAAGATAAGTTGATTAGTTCCACGTAAATTCGACAAAAGATTTTACTTACGTCTATATACAGCAATTTGCTGATTTCAACGTCCCCAAAGAACCTTATATCATCGCCAATCAATTTAATGTTTCGATTTCTAAGCCAAGCTGTTTGGTAGAGTTCGTCAAGTGCCACATTATTAAGTGATGAAATATTTGCATGATTTAAGTCAGCAATTCCACTAATAATCAAATTGGCACCTTCATTGTTTCCAATAAAGAAATTAAAAAATTCTTCCAAATCAATGCTATTTATGCTTGTATATTTCAAATCGTGAATCTCTGCTTTATTGCTGATTTTTATTTTATGCATCCTTTGTGGCTGAATTGTGTTGTTAAGGATGATTCTTTCTTCAAATGTGGCGCCATTAATTAGAGGTGTGAAGACAGCTTCTCGAACTCCTAACCTTCCAGTAACTTCAAGTGAATTCAAAGAAATTGGCTCATCAATCCAGATAGATTCTTGGATTAGCTTGTTGATTTCAACATTATTAATTAATCCATTCTTAGATGCAATGTTGTCAGAGACTTTCAGATACTTAAATGTTTGAGGCACTACAAAGACTTGCTCGCTTTCAAGTTTAAGCCAATTATTCAGCATGTCTTCATACTTTATTCCATTAATAGTTCCTTGAACCTGTAAATTTCCAATCCTCATGATATTATCAAATGCATAGCTGTCTGTGACATTCAGTTCCTCAACAATCATGTTGTTAAAGTTTGAAATAATCGACTTCCATTCATTTCCATCTACAAATTCTAAGTGATCAACTTTAAGGTGCCCAAAACTTTTAGCAGAAATTAAAGATTCAAAGAATGAATCTTGAGAGATCGAGTCATCAATTAGGAAATTCAAGTCACTGTCAAATATCTTGGCGCCAATTTTATGCTCCATAACTGTTGCCTTCATATTCTTAACTTTTAAGAAATTTGCAGATAATTCTTGAAGATTTTGTGGCTTTTTAGTGTTTAATATTAAATTGACATCTTTACCGGCCATATTAACTTTTTGTGATATGACTTGATCGACACTTATCTGCTCAAATTCAATATTTCCATCAATGAATTGAGAAACCGGGCTATTTCGCTTTAAAGTCGTTTGATTAAGTCTCTTTAAATCAACATCATTAATGATATCAGCTTGAACAGTTCCACGACTTACAAACAGTGAATTTTTAAAGGTTTTGGCTCCACTTATGACTTGTTCTGCCTCAAAATTTGTTTTCACAAATGTTTCAGTCAATTTTCCATTGATTGAATTAGCATTAAAGTTATTCCGAACTTCCAAGACATTCTTAAAGTTGATTTTGTCATTTGTAGATGCTGTCGTAAATAAATTCAATCCAGTTTCTGCTAATTTTCTAAAACTATATTGATTGTCGCTTGTTAGAATATTCTCGGTTGCATTGACAAATCTCCTAATTAATACCGGTCCTTTAATCACGTAATCGCCTTGCAGCACTAGATTATTATCAATCGTTGCTATTGGATTCATTTTCTCCAAAGTTTTACTTTCAATCTTTCCATTCAGCATGATTGGTTCCTTTAAGCTTACAATGTTAAAATGCTTTTCACCAGTTACTGTTTGTTCGGTTAGACCGCGTTTCCTTACAACTTGAAGATCCGTATTCTTTACTTTTATATTGTTAATTCTTTCTTCCACAAATAAATCATTAATTTCGACTTCCTGCTCAAACTGTACATCTTGTAGAATCTGTACTGGTTTGTTATCTTTAATGTTGATTAAATGTGAGATTGGAATCTTAGAAATGGCTTCTAATGTTCTTTCAAAAATGATTCCATTTGTGTACAGATTCTGTATGTCTATGTTGCTATTCACAAACTGCGTACCGACTGTCTTTAATGAATTAATAAATATGTCTGTGATATTTTCTCCATTAAACAATTCTTTGACATTTAATGCATCAACATCCAATTGATGAATCATGTTTGGAATCTTTTGGTCAACTTTTCGTCTTAATAGCTTGAAAAAATCATCAAAATATTGATCATTGATTTTTAAAGTATCCAGCGATCTAACATTCAATTTTTCAACAAACATAGGACGAAGATTCTGTTCAGGAACGTTCATTAAGACATTATCTGGAGACATTTCGACTCCATCAACTTTCTCGTTAACATAAAGATCTTCCTTAATTCCAATTTCGTTAGCCTTTATATTTTTCATTTTGGTGTTTCGGCGATTATCCTGATAAACAATGTCACTGACTTGCTTCCCATTTATTGTCTTTATATTCACGAGTTTATCAACAATAAGTCTATCTACTAAAGGCTCATCTTCTGCTGCAGCTTGACGACGTATTCTAGTTGTTGCTTTTGTAAAATCAATTTTCTCCTTTAACTTATTCACATCCTTTCGTAGCTTCCCAACTCTTACTGATAATTCATTAATTTTCTCAACACTTCCTTTATTAAATAATGAATTCCTTCTTTTAAACTGATTCGCATTAATTTCATCAATTTTAGAATTTTTAATAAACAAATCGCCCGTAATAGTAGCATTTTCATTCAATGGATCTATCATATTAATTGCATTTTTCAAGAGTTCGTCAGCTTCGTCCACATTAAACTCATCTAATTTTGCATGTGTATCATAACACCAGCTTAATATATTTTCTTTTAAAAGCGATGCATCCGTTTTTTTAATATAAACAGGAGTATAAATATTAAATTGGTTCCCGTATGAATTTGTGTTGGATATGACTGAAAATAGTAAAATAAGTGATTTAGACGAATAAACAAATATAAATTAAATGAATTCCTACCTATAGTCGATGTATTTTCAATAATGTTGCTGTATGATCGAATAGTCACAACACCGGCTCCAAAAGCACTTCCAGTAAAGTCTATTGATGATTCTTGAAACTTCCATCCATCATAGTAATAAATTTGAACTTCACTGTCCTCACTTGTTATTAGTAAATTGAATTCATTGTCCTTTCCCTGAAAATAAATGATTTTTAAGTCACATCCATGTCTGTTAATAACTTTTAATGTCCAATTATGTGCCACCCCTAAATATACTAACCAAAACAGCTGATACAGCTTGAACATGCTTTACATCGACTGTTTGTAAAGGAATAAAGAATCCATCAACCCATTTGTAGATAATTGACGGAACATCATAATTAATAGTTCCATAATCTCCAATTTCGAATGAATTTCCAATAAACAAGAAGTGCTGTCGCTGATTTTGATGATCAAGATAGAAATACTTTCCAACAGTAATTGCATTTGTGTAAATCTTTTGATGCTCAATGAATCTTCTTTGTGTCAAATCGTATCTTAATATTGACGAAAATGCATTTGTTGTTCCGTTATTTTCACGATAATTTCCAACAAGGACCATAAAATTGTGATTGACGGTGAAAAACTCAATAACTCGAGCATTTTGACAAGGTAAAGAATCGATTGGATTAAAGTTGTTGGATGACAATTTAAAGACTGTGCATTTCTCAAGTGTACTGTTCTTTTCTGTATTGTACGAATAAACTAGATATAAATCCTGATCGCGTGTCCATAAACTTACTCCAATTTGATTAGATTCTGCAAATGTTTGAAGTTTTGTAACTTTGACACTGTCATCATTGCTTGGATCAAACGTAACTTTATAGACGAAAGATCCACTCTTTAATAATTCATCAGATTTCATTTGTATTGTAACCGAATTCAGCACTGCTACATATCCAACTTCATTGACAGATTCACACTCGATTTTTGACAGATATTTTGATTTATATTCATGAATCTTGACAAATGTTCGATTGCTGCGCATAAAAATTGACAAAAAGTTTTCAGCTATTGTACCTTCCTTAACTGTCTTTCCATGATTTAAACTAGCAGCAAAGCTTTTTCCGTGAAGCTTAAACATGCAAATATCTTGTGGAAAATTTACAGGAACAATTCCTCGTCGTTCAAATCCCTTCAGAATATTGACATCAGTTGCTATAAAAAATAAATCATTAATTAATTACAGATGGCAACAGAAATGGAAGCTATGCAGTTGGTTGTGACTAGAGAATGTCTCAGAAAGCAATTAGAGGAATATGAACTATTAAAATCAATGTATTCAAATCCAGGAGAATTTCAGACTGACAATCCGTACCTAATCAATGATATTGAGGCATACTTAACAGGCGAACGAGCCAGTGTGGATGAAAAATTGGATTATCGTATAAAACTCCAAATGGATGCAATAAAAGTAGAACTGAGTGTGATTCTTAGCAAAAATTATCCAATTATAGAGCAGCCAATGCTGATTCTTAGGACAGACACTTTATCAAAGCAACAAGAGAAGATATTGAGGAGTGCAATAGAAAATTATATTGAGACAGAAGTAGACAAGTCAGAACCATACATGTTTCAAGTTATTTCATGGCTACAAGACAATCTCAATGAATTAGTACAAATTCCAGCAACTGGTGACCCTCAGGATGAAACTTATAAGGCTGATGTTAGTAAACCATTAATGGAAAGGGCTTGGCTTTGGTCACATCATATTTATAGTAAAACTAAGCGTCAGGATATTATGAAACTTACAAAAGATTATGAGTTGAATGGATTTATGTGGTCTGGAAAGCCTGGAGTCATTTGTTTTGAAGGAATCAGTGAAAATGTCGAGAATGTAGTTAAAGACGTAAAAACGTGGGGATGGCAAAAGCTTAAAATTGTCAAAACAGAAACAGCTATTGAAGATCCGGAAGACTTTTTTCGATTTAAAGGCTTCCAGGAAATTGTAATAGATGAAAATGAAAGGAATGAGAGAAACGAAAAGGAAGTAGGATTTATGGACAGTAGTGCATTCTTTAAGTACTTAGAAAGCCACAAATCAGGTTATATGAAGAAGGAACTTTTTGGATTTGAATAAAAGCACGTGAACTGTGCATTCCTAATATTTTCATACAGTAAAACTTACGTTTTTCATTCAGTAGTAAGTCATTTGCAAGACGTTTCTTTCGCTCTTTTGGTCCATTGATTTCAGTCAGAAAAGCATTAATTTTCAGATCTATTGACTTCTCAATATCATCCGTAAGTTGTAATGACAATTTGTCACGATTTTCTTCCAATAAATTGGTAATAAAATGATCACGCAGATATACAATATCACTAGCTTTCGATCTTACATAATAACTATTTAAAACCACGAATAATAGCACTATTAATTTAGATAAATACATTTTAAAACGAACCAATTCCTCTTTCTTCTAGAAATTGGGGTTTATTCGAGAATCACGACAAGGCTACTTATGAGATTTGAATTTTTTAAAACCGCTAGAAATTTGAATTATTTTTAAACGTTACACAATTTTTAAATACATGGCAGTTGTTTCATTGGTTTTTGACGCTCATGCCTTTACATGAAGCTATGCAGTCATAGATTTCTATAGTTCTAAACAATATAATACAAAGGATATTCAATTTGCACTCTATTGGTCTTTACTTTAACGTATAAGCTATAGACACAGTAGGTAAAATAGAGTTGCACACAAACGGACATGATTGTTCCCATTAATATCGAGAATGTGAATGGTTTAATGATAATTTCTATCAGTGTCCAAAGTATTGAAAAAAGCATAAGTACAATCATTAAAATCATCTTTTTGTTGCTTTTCTGAAAGGAAATGAGGAAATTTAAAATGAGCTTGAATGACTTATTTGGTGCTTTACAGATCGGATTCCATGAATCAACAGTATCCCAGCTATAACATTAATTATTCCAAACATAATACCAACAATTAAGTTGAAGTAAATTCCAGCTGAAATTAAGAAATTTGAAAAAATTTAATTAAGCTGATGCCTTAAAATTAAACAGTTTACCAATTGAAGGATTCTCATCCATTCCATGAGTTGTCATATTATGTAAATTTTTGTAGAACGTGCCTAAATATTCTTCACGTTTCTCTTCAGAGACTGTAATAATCACAGTCAACAGAATTGATATAAGTAAGACTGAAAATAATCCAGAAATGATGTTGAACCATCCAATGATGTAGCCACCAACTTCTAGTGATAAGCAGAAGCAAAATTTGTCAAGCACTGGCAGTTTCATTGTTATTATGACTGTTTATGGATTTGAATTCATGTATAGCTTATGACTGCATTCTTGGATAGGAAAATTATTGCATGTTATGATAAGGCATGGCATTAAAGTTTCAACATGAACGTTGTTGATCGCAGATTTTGAAGTTTAATTTTCATACTAGATGTAAAAAGCTCTGTAAGCCATAAAGTTCTATAAGCGTTATAAAGCACAGCAAATTTTTTTGGTCATATTTTATTCAGTGGGAATTTTTCAATTTGATTAATTTGTTCAGTAAAAGTTCACAAAAAATTTTCCTTTTTGTAAGTAAAAAGCTTTGATTTTTTCATTATCATGATTTTAAGCGTGCATAAAATTTTTTCTAATAGTTTTTAGTTTTATTGGTTTTATTAAACATCTTTGAATATCAAAAAGACAAATATTAAATTTTAATTGGCAGTGTGTGAAAGTAATTAAAGATTTTTGGGGTGTGACTTTTGTGGGGTTTTGCAATTAATGATTGATGTTGAATTGTAGCTGTAGCTTTTATAAAATTTGTGTCAAGCAGTCAACTTTATGTCCGTTTTATTCAATTTTTAGGTCTAATGTCTCTTTAGGTTTGTTGCACAACAACAGTGTGACAAGACACTTTCACGTGTTATGTCACACAACAGTTTCGCAACAAATTAAATTATTCAATTTTTCTAATTCGTGCCTTCAATGATTTATTTTGGAATTTCAGTGTTTATCGTGTGAATCATTTCAATAACTTTTTGATAAACCGGATTAGTGTCACACAGCAACACATTAGTGTCACACAGCAAAAACCTTGTGCCACATTGTGCCATCATTTTCAAAATCTTCAATTTCAATTCAAACCCCCCAAAAGTCATACTCCACAATTTAAAATAGCCACAACATAAAAAGTGCATGCAAAAACCATAAAGAACAGAACTGAAAAATAAAAAAAAATAATAATGACTACAAATAATTAACTTTACCAGATTTTTATTTGATTTTTCATCATTTTTCTTTTTCAATATTGAATACAAATAGGATGGAGGATTTTTTTTAGAAGGAGATGATACTTAAGAGATAAAGTTAGGTAAATATTTTTTTATTCTGTATCTCGATTAATTAAATCGCGTCGATCTTCATAATTCTGTTGTTGGAAAGAATACCATAAAAAAGGGATTTATTTTAATCATAATGATAATTACTATAAATTGTAGTAAATAAGAAATAAAAGTGTTTATGATGTATCATGTGTAAGAAATGTATAATTAATAATTTCCATTCTCGATCATGCCCTGTCAAAATCTGTCCACAAAGGAGCATGCCTTAATAAACTTGAAGTAGCTCTTTCCATAATTAATTTTTTTTTTGTTTCCTAAGCTCATATATAATAAATGTTACTTCCATCATCGTGTTATTAAATAATTTAAAATAGCAATTATGACTTATCAAGCTAATGCTTCTCATATACGAGAATCTTGCTTCAATGTAAAAAAATGTATCCTAATATTTTTTTTTTCTCAATAATATATAATAAATCCAGTCATCATCAGTTTCGAATGACTGACTTTTCGCACTTTCCGATTTTAATGTCTATAATCATTCTTTACAATTAGTTTAGGACTTGAAGGTGGAATGGAAGTGATTTGGGGATGTCGTTTAGGTTCAGATCATTTTGAGGTTCTTGTTTGTGACTGTATTCTCATTACTCAATATTTAAGCAATTAGAATCGATCGAGTATCAATTTTTGGTCATAGATTGCTAAATATCTTGTAAGGATAAAGCATCAAACAACAGATTTGGACTATATTTGAGAGTTGGTGATCTCTAGAGCCACTCCTCATGTCTAGCAGTAGATTTTAGCGATGAATCAATCAAATCCAAAATTGAGGACATCTCAAACCTTAACTCAACCAATTCCATCCACCTTCAAGCTCCTAAACTAATCATTTAATGAAATTTAATTGGGTTAACAAAGTACTTTTATTGATTATCATATCTCAATATTTTCCTTCCTCAATTCACCTTAAAATTATTTAAAAAAGCAATAAAAAAATGCGAATTTTTCCTTTCATAACTGGAAAACAAGCTTTCCAATGCTCCATAACTATCAAAATGTATTTTTTCTTTCCTTCATCTCATTCTCATAATAATTGAAATTGAAGTAATTTAAAAAAAAACTAAACAATTCTTTAAATCACGATTAATATTATTAATAATATTTTTTATAACTTCCTTCATCGAGAAAAAAAAGTATAAAAAGGCGATATTCTTACTCTCTATTTTACTATATTTAATAATTTCTAAATCATGTGTGTGTGTTTATTCTGTGTATATTTTAAATGTTATTACCTCATCGACAGCATTTGAATGCTGTGATGAAAATGTAAATAAATGAGTGATGATCGTGATTTGTGCTGACAATAGCTAGCCAAACTAGAATGACTCAAGCTGTTGCCAGCACAAATCACGTCTATAATTCATTCTTCATTCTGTATATGCTGAAAAGCGGACACAAGACTCTTTGAAGTCGATCAAAACTGTAAAATTTCTGACCACAGAAATGATGCACAACTACCAAAAAATAAGAAGCATTCAGTCACTTCAGAAAGTCCAGTTCCACTGCGAATGTAAAATTCTTCACAAATATTTATTATCATTTTTTTCTTTCTCTCGAGCTAGCATGTGATAAGTTATGGTTCATGTAATTAATAAGTGATATTATAGCTTAATTGGGGGAAGGGAAGATTTCATGCGACACAAGAAAACATTGATGAATCAGAATATAGAGAATAAGATCGATAATTTTTGTGTTGAGTAAAAAAAAGAATTAAAAGAACTTTGTTTTTGTTGTGTTTCGTATAATTATAAAAAAACTGAATTAAATTTTTAAACATAATGTTTTGCTTCTTTACAGACATTTTAAAAACAAAATTATTTAAAGTAGTAAGTTTTAAGCACATGAGCGACACAAAGCTTTTTTCTTTTTGTCACTAATTCAATCACAATTTAATAAAAAAATGTCACTAGTCCTTGTAATCTTCAAATTGCATATTATAAAATAGTATTCGATCATTTTATGTGGCGCAACATGTGTGATTGTCACGCAACATTGTTAAAACTTTGTATCGCTCATGTCAATCTAACAAAATAAAAGATATTTATAATCAAAAAAACGAGATTTTCAAAGTACTAAAATTATTATTGAATTTTTTTTTGATTCGTTTTTCGTTGAACTGAATCCTTTTTGATTTGTCTCTCGTTATTGGAATATTCAGGAAATGAATTGCTTGACAGACAAGTTTTAAGGAAACAATTTTTTTTTTCATTCCATCTACGGAATGTCGATTTAAATTGAGAATTTCATGTTGTAACATTCCCAACTCTTATCAAATCTACATCTTAATTTCAATAAGTTTTAAATCAAAAGAGATTTGCTGTGATTTTATTCTTTTTTTTTGCATGCGCAATCGTTACTTTCTTTCCTTATTTTCTCTCTCGATGATGATGACAAATATAAATAATAAAAATAAACTTTTTGGGGCAATTCATTTCAAGGATCCAGTTCCTATTATTATTATTATTCTTTTTCTCATTCAAAAAAAACCGCGCGTGTGTATGTATGTGTTGTGTAATGTGCGTGCATATATTAAATATATTCGAAATTCTTGAGGGATGCTTAATTTGCTGAAGGCTCAATAATTGCCTGTTGCTCATTCTCATGACTAACGCCATTTTCAGCATTTCCATTCATATGATGTCCATTAAGTGCTGGAACATCTTCAGCCGATTCTGTTGTTGTTGTATTCTTTGTTTCTTCTACAATATCTCCATTAACAACCTTTTTCTTTATGACCGTTGTTGTAGTTGTTGTTGTCTTCTTCACAGCTGTTGATGACGGTTTTGCCGCTGGTTTTTTTGTTATAGACGTAATTGTGGATGTCTTTTCTGTTGTAGGAGATACTTTCTTGACTGTTGTCAATGGTTTCTTTATTCCTACTACACCAACGGCTGGTCTTGGAGCCGATGGAGATTTTAGCTACAAATCAATCCACAAATTATTAATAATTTTATAAATATCAAGCCTTAATTGATTAATCTTACATCTGTCTTTACTGCTGTCTTTGTTGTGGAAGTACTGGTAATTGGTCTTGGAGATTTTGCGGTTGCTGGTCCCGATAATGACTTGTTTAAAGATTTTTCTTTTAATGGAGAGCTTGCTGATTTTTCAACGGACGATAATGAAAGTCTAGCCGCTGGTCGTGTAGCTGACGGCGATTTTGCAGTTGTAGCGGAAGCAGATTTCACTGTTAAACTTGTTGGTTTTATTGGGGCTCTATAATATAGCACAAGTAAACAATTTAATTAGAAAAACCATAAAAAAATGAAGTTTAAAATAAATAATATTCATTTTAATTACCTTGTTGTTAGAGCCGACGATAAAGGCTTTCGCTCAGTTGTTCCATTTACTTTTGGTTTAACTTCTGTTATTGGTTTTGCTGGTGCTGGCCTTTAAAATAATAATTGTATCAAAAAAAATTAGTAATTGCTTCAATTAAGTGTTATTACGAGCCACAAATTGCTACTTAATTCAATGATTCATAATTGTATGATGAACGAGATGAATTACTAATAATATTTCAGATCGCACTCATTTACTGAGCCACAGAATCATAAAATGCAATATCCAAACAAAAAAAGTCCACACCATTAAATGTTATTTTAATTTATTAGAATTGATTGAGGTTTCCAAAAATGAAATTTTTTCTACTGCGCTTTTAGAAATGAATCGTGTGATGCACACCATTATTGTTACCAAAATAAAAATCATGTTAAATATGTATAAATGATGACTGAAACAGTACAGTGTACATGATTTTGATGAAAAATATAAAAATCTTGAGTATGTATGATAATTTTGATTAATGAAAACTTGCAAATCTACTTGAGAGAATGTCGACTACAAAAATGATAAGTAATGTTAAATTAAAACACAAAAGAACAATCCAAAAACCACAAAATAAACTTACTTTGTTGCCGATGCACTCGAAGTCGTTGGTCGTTTAGTTAATGTAGATGCTGGTCGAGCCGGTTTTGGGGCATCTGCTTTTGGTTTAGCTTCCATTGGTTTTGGAGTAGATGTAGATGTTGGCGTTAGTTTTTTAGCGACTGGAGGAAGTGTTGATGCTGATTTTGGTCGAGCTGCGGCAGTAAGAGACGATGTTGGTCTTGCAGGAGCAGGTTTGCTTATTGGTGGTTTTGCAGTCGTTGGACTTGGCTTTGTGGTAGCCGTTTTTGGTTTAAGATCTGTTGTTTTCTTGATTTCAGCGGGTTTTGAAGGAATTTTAGCTTTAATATCAGTTACTTTCTTTGCATCTGGTTTTTTAATGGAATTTGTTGATGGTTTCTTTGAAACAATTGCAGCGGTTCCAATAGCAGCTGCGGCGATTCCGACAGAGGCAGCAGCAACAATCTCTTCAACTTTCGATTCAATTTTGGCATCTTCTTGTGGTTGTTCAACGACTTTTTCTGGCTCTTGAATTGTTTCTGAGACAATTTCAAGTGGCTTTTCTTCAACAATAGGCTCTTGGACAGGCGATTCGACTGGTGGTGGACTGACTTCATGAGCTGGTGCTTCCATTGTTGGAATTAATTCTTCTTGTTGGACTTGTTCGATCACTTCAGGAATGTTTTCTTTGATCTCAATTTCTGGTTGAATATCTTGCTGAACTTCTTGTTGAATTTCCAATTCCTCATCAATAAATTGTTTATGTTCTGTAATGAATTCTAAATTTGATACTTGTGATGTTTCAGTAATAAATGTATCGAGAATAGTTTCTTCAATTGGCTTCATTGATGTATGTGTAGCAAAGATTGTCTCTTCAACAGTTTGAATCACATTCGAAACAGCTTCTGGAATTGTTGGTGATAATTCTGTATCAACGTATTTATTGAAATTCTCATTAATGCCTTTAATCTCTTCAACAAACTTTTCAGCTTCAAAGTTATCGGATGATTCCATTTGTGAAATAGGTTCCTTTTCCATTAATAATGTCTCGAATTGATCGACTATATTTATTTGTTCCTTCACTGGTTCAAGACTGCTGCCCAAGAAATCAATTTCTTCATCTACAACTTGGTTTGGTTGTTCTTGCTCTACGATATTATTTTCTATGACAATTTCTTCTTTTTCTTGTTTTTTATTAGCTTGAGAATCCTCGTCATCCGATAACGGTTGTGTTGTATTTAAAATACTCTTAGCTGGATCAGCGAGAATGTCATTGTCACGACCTTCGTAGAATGAACGATTCATAGCATCATCAATTTTACTTTGGAAACCATTGCTGTATTGATCGAATGATGATTCCAATTCTTTATATTCGTCGCCAGTTGGAATCTTTTCTTCTTCAAAGAAAACTTGTGAATCATCTTTATAGCCTTGTTCAAGCTTATCATCGGTTTGCATTGCCTCTTTCAAATTCAATTCTTCTTGAGGCGATTCAATACGTTGGAAATTATCACCCATTAAATTGATTTCGTGCGCACGTTCGTCAGCTTCTTGGTCAAAGACATTTTCTTCGGGAATTTGAACATCTTCCATGACTGGAATATCGCATTTTCTTGGTGATTGAGACACAACTGCGTCGCCAAGCCCACTTAAAATCTGATTAATAAATGGACTTCGGATATTTTCAGGAGGCGGTGATGAAAACTCATTCCTTACTGGTGACAATGGAACGAATTCTTTTGCTTCCGGATTTAGTTGAGAATCCATATCATTAGTATCCTCACTGTCCACTTCAAGTTGCAAGTCTTTCTCAATATCGTCCAAAACGTGCCTTTCTTCTTCGACAGGCTCAATCTTTGCTTCTAAAATGTCCTTATCAGTCTCAATTTCAATCGATGACTCAACCAACTGCTCTTGATCTTGAACAAACTCTTGCTTACAAATTTCTTCAACAATTTCTTGTTGATTCTGCTCTACTTCTACTTCTTTTTCAACTTGTTGTTGTTCCTCAATATACTTATTATCACTCTCAGCCAGCTAAAAGTTTGTGTATATTGAAATACGAGAGAGAAAGAAAGGAAAAGAAGACAAATGAAAATAAATGATAAAACTATGTCGGAGAACAAAAGGAGTCGAGTCATTCACAGATAACAAAACTGGCTTAAAATAAATCTCATAAAATATTTTAAGCAAATACCTTACTATCTCATTTTAGACAAGACAGACTAGATAATCTTCCAGCGCATACAAAAATAATAATCTCAGATAAACGCATGAATTTTGCGAAAATTGAGAAATTGCTATTATTTACTCTCACAGAAGTATATGCTGTCGTAGATATGTTTCATGAATTTTTAAATAAACTTACATTTTCTTCTAGCTGTTCGATATGGTCGGTAACTTCAATCGGAGCAGTTTTTTCTTCGTCCTCGACTAATTTCTCTTCTTGTTCAACAATCGATGACTCAACGAATTCTTGTTCTTGTTGCGAAAATTCAGTATGTTCCTCTACGGTTTGTATAGAATCAACTTCTTTGTTATCCTCGACTTTTCGGTAATTCCACTCGTCGTCTGAGCTGTCACTTTCTACTACTTCTTGCGCAGTTTCAATTGTTTCAAGGTCTAAAAGTAGCAATAACATGAGCATCATTAACATTTTCGTCTTAAAATACCAACGTGCACGAGTTTTTGTGGCACAGTTTCGACTTAATTTTTTTCTCTATCGCATATATTAATATGGGAAATGATAATTTATTCAAATTAATGGTGATGCTACTTCTATTCAAAAATTTTGCCAAGCCTAATGAATGAACGTATATGGACTAAATCGTATCTATCACTTTTAAAATAAATTACTTTCGCTGTTAATTTGTCTTAAAATAAATGAGATCCGAATTGTGCAATCATCTGAGATGTATTTGGGGTAATCGTATAAATTTTAATTTTAATGTTTGAAGTATGTGTCCATTCATGTAAATGTAATTAAACCTACTTAACACTTCATCGAATATTTTTATTTATCTTTAATAACGTGACTATATCCATATAATGTTTTACCAAAAAAAAAATCCCCCAACATATATACTGCATTAAGAGTGACAAAAATACAAAAAGAAGAAGCAAGTAGAACACAGAAATAGAATCATCGAGAATTATTCTAAATTTAGCACCTTATTTTCCTTTACACAACATCATTTAACTTCTCTTTTTTTAAAACATTAAAAAAAATTTCTCTGCATGAATCTTTGCATGCGTATATACTCGACTACTCGCTCTACTGTGAATTTTCTCATACACAAAAATAAAAGTAAAAATGATGCCTCCTTCGCGAAAGTTAATCAAATTAATTTGCATTTAACATATTTTCTTAGTCTAGTTGTTGTTTATGTTATTATTTCGAACAAAAGTGTGGGATTCTCTCTATTTTCTTTTGACTGCTGTGTAGCAGCACTATAATGCAAATAAGAAATCGAGTTTAGGATAACTGTGTTAAATAGATGCATACAATTCGCGTTTATGTATATATTTCATAATTTCATAACCTTATAGCACAACAAGAAATGAAGAAAAGCTGTTTTTTTCGACTTGAATATAAATTCGATCCTATAATCTGAATAAAATAAACGAATGTCATACGCGTAAATCTGTGAACAGCCTGCTTGTGCTTATTGATTCACGTTTCTTTAAGAATTTTGTAATTTTTATTTTTCTTCCCTTTTTTACGACCGGAATTATTTCTTAGCATTTTTCACAACTTATTTCACCTTTTCTCAACTATTCTTTATGATCCACAGATGTAGCACTACACTATTTATTAATTGTATTATGTTTCAAACATGTAAAATAATAAGAACCTAGGTAAATTAATTTTTTAATACAAGAACTTAAAATTCATTTAAACACTTAGAACCTCTCTAATTTTACATGTTCATTTTACAGGGGTTTTGATGTAAACATTTTTGTTTACTTTTTATTTTCTACTTTAATTCACATACTGACTTTGTTGCTTACCTTTAAAAGAGTTTATATTAATTAAATTAATGAATTATCATGTCTTTATATGATCCAAATTCATTTTCCAACGGATTTTCTTTTTGAAGAACCGATTCCGATTCAGATTTGAATATTTTTAAACCGTTGATTTTTTTGAATTTCTATGAACCGTTAATTGAATTTTAAAATAGAACAATGCACTTCTTATACTCTTCTTATACTACTCTTGTACTATAGCAAGCTATTCTGTCTGCTTATATGAAGAGATTTTTCATTATGGCAATAAATTAAGTTTCATATGACAAGTGAAATAGAAAAGAAGAATGAAAGAAGGCAAGCAAGCAAGAAATCCCTCGTATGCTGTATCTTTTCAATTATTTTCTCTCCACAATGACTTTTGACATGGAAATTACTTTTTCAAGATTGCATTGAGTTCAAAGGAAATAAATTGGAATTAAATTATCGATTTAATCAGATCTCAATTGTAAATTCTTATTTATTTCCGTCTAACAGATTAACACATAGAAAGTTTCATTCATGCCATAGCTTGGCCTGGCATTTATAAGAGAGAAAATGTATTCATGACATCATTTTAATTCTATGAGAAATTTATGCCGATTTATCAGACATTATTTTTTGTAATCCGTAAAATCATATGGTCAGTTGGTCAACAAAAAAACACGTAGAATGCTGACTTGATTCTCACGGAGAGACAAACTGGATTATCAATGTCTATATTTATAGTATTATGTCACAACCAATCAGTTATTGTTTTTTGTTTCAGAATGTTGTACAGAAGATAAATTTTATTTTTGATGCCTGTAAATTCCTTTTTTAACATGCATATTGCTTGATATTTGATTGCTTGGATACATTTGTTCCCTTGTTTTTTCATTAACGAACCTTAACTGGAAATTCATTTAATTCATTTCTGTCCAGCTGTCTGAATCAGGGGAGGATGGGTTTTAAAATGAAGCTACGAACGAGTTGCACATCTTGGCAATGGAAGGAAGGATTTAGACTAGGATGGGGATCTTAATGCTTGAAAAAGTCATAATGATTGCAAGAAAAAATATTGTAGAATGTCATCAACAGCATCAAATAGACAAATTGAGTAACATTAAGCTGGCGAATCTTTCTTCACAAATCAGAAATCACCGAATAGAAAGCTAAGAACTTAGGCTTAGAACTTCTATCTTTCTTAAGAGAGTTTCAAAGCTAGTTTCTAGGAATAACCGAAGTTTGACTTTGATACCCTTCGTGGATAAGCGACCAACCTATTTAAATCCACTCAGATCCAAAGTAATAAGCGCTTTAATCAGTTGATTTTAAACATTATTTTAAATCCAAACTTAGATCGTCTTAATAGCTATATACAGCATATATAACACGTTTCAACACATTATTATGATCATGTTTTTGTTAAGCTTTAATTTATAACAACTGCCGTGCATCAATAATAATAATAACAATAAAGAATCATGTATCTAGGTGAAAAATAAGAAAAATGTAAAGAATAATCAATAAATTCTACTCAATTTTATTCACAATTAGCTGTTTTGGATCATGGAGCCTCAAAATTTTACGGCAACAAATCGATTCGTTTAATAGTTTCATGCTGTGGCTATATATTTCGTATATAATTGTAAACACAAAGAGGAAACATGAGCTTGTAGCTTTTTTAATAATTTTAAAATGAAGTGCTGGTTTAATTATTTTAAATGCAATTTAATTTCAGTCATATTTCATTAATGTCAAATAATGTCGTGTTTAGATAAAAGTTTTCGATATTGGATAATGTCTGTCAACTTTCCAAAATACTATGTTATTCAATTACCCAGTTAATAAGCAATCGCTAAGTTAATGTCGAAATTTTTCATCAAGATTTTTTGATAAAAGTTATTCCGATTCAGAGCAGACCTCGAAACTGATATGAATATAGGGCATCTAGATTTTGCATCAATCTGAGTCGATATCCATTAATAATCTATCAAAATCTTAGAACTGTTTAAGAATTAATTTTACGAATGGTTTGAAAACAAACAATACTTTGACGACTTTAACTAAGATATTTCTAGGCATTAGCAATTCTCTTGTTACACACTAGATTAAAAACTAATGGTTTAGACTGTATACTAGCCAGTAGGAAAAAGTTTGTCAAATCTAAAGGTTTCAAAATCTCATTCATTAGTCAACATCATTCAGAACCGACTCCAATTAAATTAATGAATATATCCAACAAACCAAAAAGTACCGAAAATGAAAGGAGTTCCCCAAAAATTAATTGAATTTCAAGATATGAACATAAAAGGTCGTGTGCTGCAAACTCATGCAAGCACCCACGAAGTGATTATTTAAATTATATCCAATTTCTTTTTGACTAATAAATTATTATGCAATCAATTCGAAATGGATCATTTTACAAGGCGGGCGTCAAAAATTAAAACTATCAATGTGCTTCCCACAGATGTCAAAAATATTTAATTTATTTAATTGTAAGAAAAGATATAAAAGCATTGAATAGTGCCAAATTTGGTAAAAATAATAAAAAAAAAATCCTCATTCTGATTTTGTGGCGTCAAAAGTCTGCCTATGAAGTTAAATGCTATCAAATTTCTTACTTTCCTGACATCAATTTTTTTGTGTGCAATACACAAAATTCCTAATTGGAAAAAGCACATTGACTAATTTCCTGTATGATGTAGAAACATGGAATAAGTCTTTCATATATTTTTAGCCATAATGAAATTGAAATCAAATTAAATTAAGATTCGTATCAGACATTTGTCTCATATTGAACAGCTTTGCTTATCATGCTTGTTCCTTTATCATATCACAAAAAGTTTGACATGAAAATATTGTTTCTCTCTTTGTGTTCCTATAAATTGAAGTCTTCTGGTTGATGTGGACTTAGTTTTTTGACAAATTTTGTTCAAAGTAAGTGCCTTGAAATTGTGTAAGAATATATTTTTTGTGCCTCTTTTAAAATTTATTCTTTATTCCTTTGGAACTTATTGGATTCTTCGAAGCTTGTCTAATTATTATTTGATGCTAAACTTTGAAGCTCATTGTTATTTTTTAAAAAAAAGTGTTAATAAGATTTTTTGATCAAAAAGCTTTGAAACATTACGTAACTCTTTAAGATTTATATCCACTACCGCAATTTTAGGATCTTGCTACCTTCTGTCTCAAAACTTTCACATTTAACATTTGTTGAGTGTCATTTAGCTTTTTAATCCTCTTCCCACACAAAATCGATCAAAAAAGTGAATTAAATAGAAACTCTAAATTAATTTCAATGAGATCTATTCATCGTTATGATCATTAACAGGATTGTTGGCTTAAGTTTCATTTTTTAAGGGATGGTCTTTTGAATTAAATAATAACTGAACGACCCCAAACCTAACAAAACCAAATATCAAATTATTAAACATTAACAAAAGCTTACAATTTTAAAATCAATTTTAGATCAACTCATAAAGAGTCACTTGGAAATGAAAGCCATATTGATCATTGCATTGGCACTAGTTGCCTCTGCTTGTGCCTACGATGTAGAAGATATTCCAGAATTCATGAGAGAACGTCTCGATAAGTACGTTGAATTACAAGAGAAATGGAAGCTGAAATGGTTAGAAATGAATACAGAAGAACGCGAGACCTTCGAGAAAGTGATTTATGATCGTCTTTCACACATCCCTGACAATGTTAAACTCCGTATTCATGGCCGTATTGCAGGCATGGACCCAGAAGATCGTATTAAGTTACGTGACTATTTATATCAACGATTCCCAGAACTTAAGGTACTCGTTCAAGCCAAGGAAGATGATGTTGAAGAAATTGATGCAATCATCGAAAACCTTCCTCAAGTTCTCCGCGAAAAAATTAGCGACTTTATCGCAATTCGTTTTGCACCTGCTACCGCATACGAGAATGTCGTAAGGCACTTATTAAATTACCAATATATCGTTATACTAATTTTTTGTTAATTTATTTTCAAGGATGATGCTGACTTTATCGACTTCCCCGAAATTCCAGAATTAGTTGACATTCCAGCACAAGGAGATGGAACCCCATACAGCATTGACAATGTTGAAGAAGAAGTTCGTACACAAGTCGATTCATTCTTACTCAGACGCGAAGACTGGAGACGAAGATGGGAGAATTTACCAGAAGAAAAACGTGAAGCTTTCGAGAAATACATTAAGGTCAAAATGGACAAGGCTGAGGAATAAATTTCCAGTTATTCCTGAAGTGTGATCAAATGAAGTGAAAAAATGAAATTGACGAGCATCGATCAAAACCCTACTGAAATTTTCTCTTGTCTTTTTAACATATTTATAATATTTGTGACATTATTATAACCAATAAACATCTAAGAACCTTTTTAAATTGCCTGTTGAAAATGCAAGTTTTGTGGATTTTACTATTAGTGGGTTGGGAAAACACTTTTATGATATGAACAAAGTTTGACTAATTTCAAATTAATTTTATAGCTTGAAAAATGTCTACAGTTAGCAATTAAGTGATCTAAAGCAATCTAAAGATGACAAATTATCTTTAGATAAAGCTCATAGACACAAAAACAAACAATCTCGATATATTTTGTTGGTTTTAAAAAAATTTCAACACTCAAAAATATTCGTGATTCAATATAGTACGACCAGAAACGGAATTGTTTACAGATATTAATTCTCAAAAAGTGTTCTAGCTCTTTGTCGGCAAAATTAGACACAATTAAAGAAAATCGAATTTGCCATTTTCGGTGTTATCGCTAGTAATTGGTTTTTTACATCTTAACTTATTTCTTTGTTATCGACCGACAAGGTTACTGGTCATGACATGTCAATTCTGGTAAAACAGAGTTTGCCGAAAATAGAATCTTAAAATTTTGATAAATCAACTTTCCCATTTTAATATTACAAGCCCAAAACAAAATCATTTAATGCAGTGAAAAAGTTAGTATAAAGAATTTAAGCTTACCTGTCATTAATGGTTGTTCTTGTTGTTGAATGGCAACTTCCTCGTTTACTTCATTGGCACAAATCGATTCATCTTCAAAAGGTGATTGCATAGATTCATCACGATCAACTTCTTCTGACTCGAGCTGGTCATTTTCAGTGATGTTTTCAAGTGGAAGTTGAATATATTGTTGTTGGAGCTGTTGGAGCTTTTCGAATTGTTCCTCACATGTTAAATCTTCATCATCATTTTCACATGATGTGCACTCGTTCATTGCAACCATAATTTGTTCGATTTGTTCATTGTTGCTTTTAATCAGTTTCCTTTCATCCAAGCCTGCATCAGTTGAATCTTGCTGTTCAATATGTTGATGGCTTTCCATCGATTCTTTTTCAGCTTGTTCAGAAGTATCAATTTTATCTGTTGGCTCATCTTGATGTGGATCATTCTCACATGCACCAGTAAAATCTTCACATGTACCAGTAAAATCATCGATACCAGTGCAGCTAATTGGCACTTGATCAAAAATATCATCAGTTTCCTTAGGTTCTGTTTGAATCTTTTCTTTTTCACCGCCAGCGGCTTCACCTATTTCCTCATTTTGAGATAAGTCATCATCTGGATCGACATTCGTTTCTGGTCCCAGGTCTGAATTATTAAAATTATTATTACTGTTATTGTTATCATCATTCAATGTAAACGGATTGTTGCATTCTGTCTGCGGTTGGAAGCTTTGTGTATTTTCGACTTGCATGAAATTATCTTCATCATGTGTTCCATTATTGATCAAGTTATTGTTAATGGTGTTGAGATCATTTGTCATTGTGTTCTCGAATTGATTCGGATGCATAACTAGATCAGTAATTTCTGTGCTTTTACCCATGAAGATGTCTTCACCAAAAGGATTATTCATGATATCCTATACGAATTATAAGAAATGTCTTAATTAAATGGCAAAAATAATTTCATAAACAGATTAAATATGCTGTAATTTGCACGTGAATAAAGAGAAGTGAGGAATTTCGCATATAAATCAACATGCATCATTAGCATACATATTTCATAAATTAATTAAAAATGTTAATTTTATGCAATAAATAAACTAAAACAAAGAAATCAGTTGCTTCATCACGAAAGAATGTACAGAATAAAGATCCAGTAAGAAATTTTTATACTGTTCAGATTTAAATCATGTACATATTTATAAAAAGAAGCTTTTAATGTCTTTATAAAGATTTTAATATCTTTCCATAATTTAAGTGGGTTATGATGTGCGTATTAAGGTCAATTTGTCAACAAATCTCTCAAAAATTTAACTAATTGTGTCAAAAAACGATAAATGGACATGCAAAATGTGAATAATCAGCACATTGTTCTGTAAAAATTGCGCTTAAATAGCATGAAGCAAAAGATGAAGAATGAAGAGATTATGTTAAAAAGTTATGCTGATTATTATTAAATTCGTTCATATAGAAAATTAATATCAGACGCACCCGACAAGTCGAGAGATTCTTCTTTATACTTTTACAATGAAGTCTTTCTTCTTAGCCTGATTAAAAGTGTCGGCACGGCTACTTATGTTTATGACTACCGGATATATCTTTGAGTTTTTAACAGTTATTCATTATTTTTATCGGCGCTCATTATTAAAAATTCATTTTGTTTTATTTCACAGAACAAAAAGAATGAAAACAGCAATAATGCCATGATAGCAATCAACTTCATTCATGTTATAGATTTAACGCGAGAAAAGGTCAAATTTGTTACAGTTTTAATCAACATTATTACTCACCGAATTTCCAAGAGTTTCTTTTGGTGGTTGTGGTTCTGGGTTGAATATGTCCGCCATTATTTCTTTATTCTGTGCTATTTCTGATGGCCAGCTTTGAGTTGCTATAAGTTCGGGTTCTTTTAAGTAGACAACAATAACTGATATATTGTCTCGTGATCCCTCTGATTTGGCAAGTGAACACAATTCTGATGCAATAGTACTGTAACTGTCTGTAATTATATAAAAAAATAAATATGTAATATTATTATCAATTTTTTTCTTTTGCTTTACATTCTATGAATGAGTTTTCTATGGATTGAATATTTATTTTTTTCAACTACGTCTTCTATTTTCACTTCTCTTAACAACAACTAGGAACGAAAAAAATTGATTTGATGGTAAAATGCACAAGTAGAATTTTTGTTTCTTACTTTCAACATTCAAAGAAGCATGTAATGTTTAAAAAAGCATGAATGGTCTACAGCATGTAAGAGCAATACGTAAAACAGTTATTGAACAATTGAAATATAAAACGGGTGGAGTTTTATAAGCAACTTAGTAAGTGAGTCGATAGATAAATAGATGGATGGATAGATTTGAAATGAAAAGAAACGAGGGATTGACTTTGAACAGCAACACAAAAATTCCGAAAAAAAAAACAGTTTGATTTGAATGCCAATGGGAGAATATAACTGTTGGATTCTGGTAATAAAGCTTCATCATAAGCGTTTATTGATACCTAAATTCTTCTTATTTTGCATTCATTATTTGCTTGATTTCATGTTTTGACAATGTGCAAAAAAAAGTCTTTTTCTTCCAATAAATATTTGCGTTTCACTTGACTCGCAAAACCGAACAGAAAATCTGTTAAAAAATTATTTTTGCAAAATTGTACATTTTGAGTTCATTAAACTTTTTTCTTTCATTCCATTTTTTTTGCTCACGTAGTAGCTGTAATCTCTTCTTATTTCTATGATCCAAATTTTACAATTGTTAGCAATTTCTCTCAATGAATGAAATGAAAAATCATGAAAAATAGAGTGAAACAATTTTAAAGATAAAATTTAATTGTGAAGCTTTCGAATATTGAGCAACAGCTTTGGGGTCGTTCAATTGTTACGTTGTCTAGCTACTAAGTTTGATATTGGCTTCAACTACTAAGTGCGTGAAGAATTCTAATGAAATATGTAGATCTGTTAAACAAAATTTATGACAAGATGCACACTGCCCCCCATCCCCGTCCCAACGTCTCTCCCAAGTTTTTGTGAAACAAAATAATTGAACGACTCGAGTCACTTTTATCACGTTCAGACACAACAATATTGACGATAACGAGGAACACATAACAATGAAACATAATGGCTGTTCGATTGTGATAAGAATGGCGAATTTGTACAATAACATTTCATGAATAAAACAGCATGACGATCGTTATTGGGAATCACTTTAAACTAAATATTGTTGACCTGTTTGTTTATCTTACGCACGGCGTGAAAACAATGAGTTCCGATGATTTTTGAGTTTCTGCCAAATTCTGGGACGTAATGATGAGGCAATTCATTGAGGTGATTTATAATCAATAAACAAATGTTGTTTTTGTGTTTCTAATTAAGATCTACAACCTATTTTAAGGATAAACTGTTTATGTTATTATTTCCAGAAGAGCCCAACACTGCGATCTAATTTTAAGAAAGCAGGCGTCACACGAAGTCTATTCTTATTTATTAATGAATATTCGAAAATTGAATTTTAATGAAGTTGCACTCCTCGAAGCCCTTAAGCATATATTTATACTTCATCATTGCCTTCCATTCATGAGAAAAAGAGAGAATAATTGTTTAAACAGTAGTCGGATTAATAGCCTGCTATTAAACCAAGATTAACGGGTGTACATATTTAATCAAGGAACTTTTTTTCTGAGATAAATTATTTTTTTCGTGTCATCAATCACCACCGAGAATTTATAGAAAGTTTTATTTTTCCTCCCTAGACAATTTTATCTGAGCAAGTGATCTGGAATTAATAAAGATAATTAACAGCAAATGATGACACTCAAGATTTTGCAGATTAAAGAGAACTAGTTAATTCAATGCCCCGAAAATGAAAGAGTTGCGCAACGTTAATAAATTCTCTTAATCATGCCCCGTAGGATGTCATAGCTGCTTTTTATTAATTCTCTCACTGAACCGACTGGCTTCATTAGGACAATATTGAAAGCGAAATGTGCATTAATAAAATTTAATGCGTGGGAGGATCAACTTCAATCGATTCTCGTTATGTTGATTTAATAAAAATGATCATGAGACATTCGTTATGAAGAAGTAATAAACACATACTTGAACGCCCAACATACATGATACACATTTCTTGAAAATAATAACAACCGGTATCTGCCGGCGTTTTAAGTGCTTACTAATTCTGCTTAAAATATAGTTTTTTTTTCTTACCAGAACCGAGACTTTAAATTGAAAACAATAAACAACCTTCGCGATATTTTCTTCATGAATGTTCTCTTGTTATTCTTTCGAGTTTCATTTCTTTTATCTTTTCAATGCTCATAATGTCCAATGTTATCAGTTTGCGTCAATTCATTACAATTCGCTGTCATATTACTTTTTGATGATACAATTACTCATTTCTGTTGTGTTTATTGTCACAAACTTAAAACTTGAGTATAAAATAAGACAGCTACCATACAGAAATCATTAGTAATCAAGAACAATTGAAAAGAGAAGAGTGAATCAGACAAGAAATACAGAAATAATAACTTTTGACAAAAGAAGAAGTAAACAATAAGTGAATTATGAAACCATTGATAATATTTTTTATGGCCATCGCAGCCATAAATGGATTTTTTTTAAGTGACCAAGCTAGGCAGGAATTTTATCAGGAAATGGAGAGAATATTTTCCAGTCGTCATAAGTACATAATGCATGGAGATGTGAGAATTCCACTTGAACCAATAAAAATGTCCGAATTGTTGAGAGCAGTTGAGACATTCCATGCGATTTCGGAAGAAGAAAGAGCTGCATTGAAGAATCATCTTTTTGGAGTGAAATTTCCACGACCAATGCCCGCTAGTCATATTGAAAGTGTTCATCCATTTGACGAAGAAAAATTAAATGAAATTCATGAAAAGTGGGACCTAATGACACCGGAAGAACGTGAAGAAGTTCGCAATAATAGACGCAAGGATGTTGATCATGCAAAACCAGATTTCATTCATAGATTCCCAAGAGATATGCCTGAGCATAAACACGCGAAAGATTGTGATCATTTCAGTGAAGAAAAAATTGAAGAATTACGAGTGAAATGGGAAGCAATGACACCAGAAGAACGTGAAGAGTTGAAGAGAAGCTTCAGAAAAGATCATAGAGACATTAAAAGTCATTCAGGTCGATCAATTCAAGGAATAAGATTTCCAGATTATTTCCACTTTATAAATGATATTCCTAATACTCGTCCTTTTCCAAGACCAGAAATGCCCATTGGGCGTCCAGAAGACAATATTGGATCACCAATTAACTGGAATTCACGCCCTTTTCCAACACCAGAAAAACCTATTGCCAGACCAGAAAATAGAATAAGAATGACACGACCTATTGAATGGGTTTCTCTACCAGAAGTTGATAGAGTTCTTTATCCAATTGATGGCAATTTCCAACCAATCAAGCCTTTAGAAGAATTAGAAAGCTCAATGATTCAAGCAGCAAGTGATACCGGAAGAACAAGACCAGTTGATCCAGTTGCTCGTGACCGTATGCCACAACCAATAAAACAAATTCCAATTCGCCAATCATCAATGGATTCTTCAACTTTGTTTGATGATATGACTGATGAAGAAAGACTTCAAGTTATTCGTGAATTATTCCCAGGAGGATTACCTATTCGACCAATCGGACCAATTCCTATTATTCCAGCCGAAAAAGGTGGTGCATTAGTTTTTGAGCATGAAGATATTGATAATGAAGACACTAAAACAAGAAATGTAGAGGATTATCCACATCGTTCTCGAAGACCACGCAACTTCCAACCAATCCTTCCATTGCAGAGACAACCGATCTTGCCCATCAAGTCACAACCTATCTTACCGCATCAATCACAACCAATTTTACCAATCAAGTCACAACCTATCTTGCCATTCAAGACTCAACCAATTTTACCACAACAATTTCAACCAATAATGCCATTGCAATTCCAACCAATAATGCCATTACAGAGACAACCAATTATGCCAATCAAGTCTCAACCAATTTTACCTAATCAATTTCAACCAATAATGCCATTTTAGAGATCTTATGAAAGAATTTCTAATCAATAATTCTAGTAGCATGTAGATATTTAGAGTAGAATGAAACTTAAAGTGTACTGAAATCCAAATTATTCTCGAATATGATATAGAATAGAAATATATATATATTTATGCAAACTGAAAAAAAAAATCCACGACATTGTTGAGTAGGTTTAATAAAGACTCGAATTAATATTAATTTTTCTTAAAAGAATATCTTTAAATTAAACACTTCTAAAATACGTACATGACAACAATTAAGATTTACGAGTTTTTAACAGAGTTGAAAGGGAAATGTAGGAATAAAAATATCTTTTTCAGTCATTCATATCGTGATATTTAATCTAGAGAGAATACGAGAAATGCGGAGACGAAAAAAAAATTGTTATTATTATAACAATTATGTATGTAAAGTTTCTTTAATAATTCACATGAAATTCTTATTTTCTTGTGCTACATGAAATGGGTTGGTGCATCACTTTCTGTTGAATAAAAAGAGAGCAACTGACGTAATGATTTATTGGGTTCGGCTGTTCATAAACAAATGAAAAATAAAAATTTATGAGTAGATGGATTTAAATTGAATTACGTGCTGTGAAAAATGGCATCAGAAAAATTCTCAATAAATCCTTTTTGAATCATCAAGAAATTAATATTTTTTTTTATTTTTATGCGTGGCAATCATTCCATTTAATCAGCAGATTTGAAGAAAATCCTATTAAAAGAAATTTGTTTCACTCATATGAATTCATGTAAGTCATCATGAACAATTAACTGCGCGATAGACAGAGAAGGAAATATATTGAAAAAAAGTAGAAATTTGGAGCATGAGCTGATGGATTTAATTTAAAAATCTTAATTAATCGCTTTGAATTTGCGATGCACAGACAGATAAACAAGAGTGCTCATTTTCAGCCGGCGAAAAAAAAACTCCAATTTTCGCACGTCTCATCATCATCGCACGTGTCAATTTTGCATTTTGCCGATGTTAATCCATGGATTTTATTACCATTTTTTTTCATGACTAAGTATGGAGAATCAACACCATAGATAGTGAAGTTTTTTGTTTATTTGGTGATAATATATTAATAAAACAAATGCTTCGGAAATGATGTTGATATAGTCATTTTGTTTTTCTGTGTATTCAATGGTTAGTGTTTGCAGAAATTCAAATCAACGCAAAAGATAGCTTATAAACAAATTTTAGCACCAATGTTGTTTTGAAAATAAATCTGAATGTTATAAAATTTTTAAATACACATAATTAACACCCGATTGTCATTCGATATTTATAAATAAATTCCAGTAGTTAAGATAAATATTATCAAATTTCATGATACATCCTGCTGATTAAAACTCTCCTAATAAAGCAATAAATAAGAATATCTATTTTGAGTAATGAGACGCATTATTTAATATTTTAGGTCACACACATGTGACGTTCGAATAGACATTATTCATTTAGGAAAAATCTCTGTTTTGTCATTAACCTCTGAGATTTTTTTGATGTGTATATTCAATCTATTGCCAAATGTACATCACGGTCTGTTTGTTCTCTTCATTATCTTAACAAGCATGAGCCAAACAGTCGCCAATGGCAACCATGCAAGTCTCTTGGCTGTAATTATCAATTAATGTTGTCAGAATTTGAAATGCCAGGTTGATGATTAAGTAGTGATGATTTTTATTTTCGAATCTAGGACAGCCTGAAGCCCTCTAATTCAAACATTCAAATATCTATGGAACCTTTACATATCATTTAAATGGATGGCATATATTAATCTTCTGACGCATGAAAGAGCAATTTGTTTATATCATCACTAACGTCATAGATATACAAAATGGCTATTAACTCATCGTTCTAAAGTTTCTAAATTTAAAAGGCAAAATGCAATTTTTCACAGCTACTCATTCAGCCATTGAAGAAAACAATATTTCATCACAAGTGTATGGTATATACAAGTCATCATCTGATACATATTATTTTCGAGAAAAATGCGATTAAGAAGAACTCGTCTTTGGCATTGATTCAAATGAAAGCTGAGGAAATGGAAAATGTCGTGGTTTCAATTTTCATGTTTTAAATAAAATGGAAAATATTTTATGAGTAAGACAAGTGAAATGTCTCACATACGGAGTAATTCTCAATTTGTTTCTCTTAATCATCTCATCATTTTTTTCTGACCCTGACCATAGCTCATAACTTATATGTATGTAGTGGATTATATAGTAAGTGCTTTCATATTTCATGCTATAATTAACAGTGAAAATAATTCACGTGAGGCATTCTAAGGTGTGTAATATCATTTCAAATAGACATTAAGTGTATCACGACGGGAAAGACGATACACAACAGACTAAAAAACAATTAATTGCTTATGACAGACTTATGTGTGGGATTTTCTCTAAGAATGGCAAGCATGTATCTCTCATTAGTATCTATTTTTTTTTAATTTAATTATAAATCGATCGTGTATGTCATATTATCATTTTGCTCTTTCTCCGTCCCGTTTCTTCTTTTTAATTAGAGCGAAACTACACCGGAAACTGAAACTTAGTACTGTCTTTCTCTCATTTCTTTCAAGAGCTTGCATTGTAAATAAATAAGCCATTCATTCTTAAGTGTTTGGCCTTTTGTTTGTGGTTAATTTAGTCTTAAACGTTATTTTTTCCCTTTTCTTTTTTAAATTCGTTCAATTAGAGGTTCTGAAATGTTTTGAAATGAAAGGCGTTAGATTAAATGATTTATTCGTTCATTGTAGACGTTTTGAACTAGAAGAATGAGATTGTGTTCATGAATTTTATTTTATATTGTTTATGACTATAACATCATACATTTTTAAATCATGTAATATCGCTGACTGCTTTAATTAAGGAGAAATTTCTGGTTTTTGTATTATTTTTGTGGCAAAGAAGATCTTGATTGTCTGAATTAGATTATTGTATTAGAAAAGCTACAAAAAATTGAGTCAGAACATGCTTTAAGAATCATTATTTCAGTACGATTTGTTGGATCGCATAAATGTTTACAAAAACCTATTAATCATATGTTTCGATCATTAATTAGGAATCTTTAAATAAACAATTATAGTAATACCAATAGAAGAACCAGTTACTCGGTAAAACAGATAACCTTATAACAGTAGACATGCCAAAATGAGAAATTTGCTGTACTAATAACATGGGCGTTCACAGACCGTGCTTTTTTATTAAATTAGTAACGACCATACATCATGTAATCATCAAATCCTTCTTCATACTCCTCTAATACATTTAATTTGTATTTTCACAAATATCATAACGCCCATGTCTCGTGTGTTTTGCCGTATACTGTAATATGCTTTATGCAAATAGTTTTGGTATGTAATAAGAACGAGAAATACAAGAAGGTAACAAGTAATTTTATCAGCACGTGCCCCGAAATTTGTATGTTTTTGGTCTTTTCAAGAAATAATATAACTTTGATGTAGGTTAAAAAAAAAACTTGGTACATATAAAGTAGAAAATTATAAATTATAATAATGTGTTTTTTTATCTTATTTCGTGCCTTGAAAGTATAGTCTCTTTGGATATTTCGAGGGTAAGGATATTAACACACGTTTCATTTCTATTTTATGAATTTTTCAATTAGAAAATAAGTACACATACTGATGGCTATACAACAATCGTGTAGCTTTTATTCTTCAAAAAAAAAACTTTATCTTTAACTATGATAAAATATGCAGCATATGTCGGTGCCAAGCTGGAATATTAAACATACATGAAACAAAAGTTTTTTTTTTCTCCTCTCAACTTTCAAATGACTAACAGTGCAATGATACATTCTCGGAGATGAGATATAAAAATTTTATAAATGTTGAGAATTGTTCGCCAAATGCATGAGTAAATGTGTATTGTTTGCAGATACATTAACAGCTGCACATCAAATAAACACTCTACAAGGTGAATTTACTTTAAAATTTTTCATTTCATCCTCTTGCCTGTCAGACATATAAAAATTTCAAATATGTACGAAAATAAACGACTCCATAAAGTAATGAAATTCATTTATTTTGTGTGTGAAAAAGTGGAATAATCTAAAAATAGAAGCAAATTTTTTATAATGTATGTAGCTTGTTTTAAAGAGTTGGAGGAACAGTCTTATCCATTTGCCGAAACTAACACATATGTGGTAGAATTTTAAATATTCATTCTCGCTCGTGTCATTAAATGACTCAAAAAAAATAAACAAAAAATAAAAACTATCAAAAATGTGTTTCTTGTTTTGCTTATGTGAGACGGATTTAGGGTAGATATATCAGTCATTCATAATCAGCATATTGACCCCTTTGATGTCGACTCTAACGAATTTCCACTCTTTGAGCATTTGTGATTTGTCAAGCCACGCTCGTACACATTCATTCAGTTCACATTTCATTTTCGCATAATTATTAGAGGAAATATTAAAATTTTTTACGTATTTTTCCATATTTTACCATGTTTTTTTTCGAAAAATTCTCTTTGGTGTTATTACAATAAATAATTTTTCAAGTCACCAACCGAGGGTAATAGCTTGCAACCAGCATGTATGATGATGTCATCTGTCGTAAAAAATTATGTCTCCTTTAGCAGAAATTTTATTGAAGCAAGTGTGCATGTTTCATTGATTTTGTCTTTTATTAAAGGATTGAGTCATTCATTGAATGTAATCCAAAATTATGAATCATGCGTGAATCTTTATTTTGAGAAGATGACATTGAATTCTACTAGACAAGACTCTTTCATTATTATTCAGAATGACTGGTCAATTGTACAAAATATCTATAGCAACTTAGGTCATCAGGTGACAGAATGGTACAGAAATATCAAAACACTCAATTTTGAAATAATGATCGACTCTTTAGACCATAGTAGCAACAGTATCTAAAAGTCGCTCCTTAAACACTCTTAACCAGCTCCTCAACTTGCCATTTTTGCTCTCAAGCAATTTTTTATAAGCGAAAAAAATTAATGACTCTCCTCACTACACTTCAATAACTTTTTCCTGTTGCCTTATGCTCTTTTTGCATCACTCTTCGTGGAGAGTAACTCACAACATCATTTTAGAAGTTGTTATAGTGTCACATATGTACGAATAAAAAATATGAGACATTTTAGCACTTTAAAAATTGTTACTTCTTGCAACACTCTTTCATTTCAAGAAATAAAATAATTCAAAGGAAATTGAAAGAT